GATGAGCTGGAGCTCCCCAGGCTGCCAATAAGTGCCTCTGGGAGAAGAGACCTCCCTGGGTTTCTCTGCCTGTGGCTCAGATCTGTCCCTTCTCAGACACATCCTGGGCCACCACTGTGCAGTGTGTACAAAGACAGGCTTTCCAGGAAACCTCCTGGGTGTTCGAGCCTGGGGAACCTGGATCTCCCAAGTCCACTTCCAGAACCTCTCATTCACTTGATAGAGCCCAGAGGGAAAAAAAAAAAAAAAAATCTAGGTTGATTTGACCTGTTAAAATTTACCTCCTTTTCAGTGCTGTTTTTCACATAATGATTAAAACCAGAGAGATCCTTTCCCTAAAGTACTTTGGGGGTGCAGGATGAAAAGTATCAAATACTGAACTGAAACTACTTAAATGTACCTGTTTAAGACCTGAGATCTGAGGCACAGATTAGTGCCAGGTACTTGCTCTAACACGATCCAAACCCCCATTTCTTGTCTAAATGTGTGACTTTTCCTCACCCTGCCAACACAGCTATGGCACCCAAAGCTGTTGTGTAGCCCCACCATACCAGCAAAAAGCTCCTTTAGGCAATGTGCTTTATTTTGTTGGGAGATTGAATGTGAACTACGACTAATTTTTTCCTCCCTCAACACGTTGGGTGATTTACCTCTTACCTCTCTGACTGTGCTGTTACAAACGTGGATCTCTGGTTCATGCACAGATGATCTTTCCCAGATGGCAGGCTCTGCGTGTCTGTGAATTCCCTGCCATAAAACCACTCTGCTGACTTGCTGTGTCATCAGAAACGGAGCTGTGAAGCTCTAGACCCATCCTCCTCCTCCTCCTCCTCTGCTGAAATTTGGATGTCTTGTCTGAGTTACTTCTGCTCCTTTATCATTCTCAACAAGCAGCTGTCTTTCCAAACAGGGAGATCATAGCATTGCAGGCAGCAAAAGGCAGCCAGGTTTGCCAGGCCTGGATGGGGTGAGCATGCCCTGCCCTTTGGTACAGTATCTGCTCTCCGTCTTTTCTTGCATGCCTGTTGTGTGTGTTCCTGCTGGGGCCAAGCCCTCCTGTCCTGAGAAACAAATCCCTCCCTGGAGAGGAAGGACACAAGGGAGCAGGGCTGGAAGGAGATGTTTCACTTTGGCATTTGGGGAAGGATGCCAGTGTCTTGTGCCTGCTTCCTGCTCCCAGTTCAAGTGACTTTAGACAAGGAGTGTGAACCACGGGAGATCGCGGAGAGGACGCTGCTCACAGTTAGCTACGGTTTCTCTCTGCACCTGTGGCCCAGTTTGGTTCCCCTGGTGCTGGTGCAGCCCTGGGAGTCCCGTTCCCAGCTGGGATTGGAAAAGCTCTCCTCAAACAAAGGGGCAGCCCTGCAGAGTGGGGTCACCAGCACTCTGGGCTTTGCTGTGTCAGCTCAGGTTGTGTCCAGTGGTTACACAGGAAGGTTCGTGCTCTCCTCCCCAAAAGGGCTCTGCACGAATAGTCATTGTTATATTTTCATATTTTTCACCATAGAAAATGCTGCATGTCAGATGATTTGCAGTTGTCCTCAGAGAAACAAAGGGCAGTAAGCTGTTTCTCTTTCAAAAAGCCAAATTACTTTCAGATGTGACAAAAAAAAAAACCAATTCCTAACAGCAGACCAGCTCCAACTCTTCATATTTACTCCCCGGAGATGTTCCATTTACCAAGCATCTCCCATTTTAACTGTACAGAAAACACAGGCCCTATCTGTACTGAAGGCACTGTAAATTGCAGTAGGTGATTTCTCCAAGATGAAACTCCAACATGACCAGTTAATCTGGAATCACTCGAGTGAAACGTGGTAGAAAGGCGTGGAGATTTAGGATGGCCAAAGTAAGTATTTTGAGGAAGGAGAAAAAAAACAGGGCAGAAATGAACCCTGTGGGACCATCCGTGTTAGGGTCTGCTCTAACAGCAGGTCAGGATGTTTCTGAGTCAAACAACTGCTCTGCACCTTGTCCCCTGTCCCCTTCACCCCCAGACAACTCTGGCAAATGTACCAATTGTACTTATTAATAGTTATGGACCAAAACATCGACCGTGTCTGCAGAGAAACGTGTGTTCTCTAACTAATGTCATAGAAAAGCACATGAAAATAACTTGACTTCTTACACTACGAGTAGCTGGAGAGGGTAACCTTACTTCACTGCATCTGTTTTATTGGGCATAGGCTATTTTACATATAAAATCAATACAGAATACAAAAAATGTGATGACTGACATTTACAGTAAAAAAATGTAAAATTGCATTTTTTGACCTCTGTTTGCACTGGCAGTTCCCTCTGCTGCACACACACACCCCCTCGTGGCTTCCCAACACCCCCCCCGGGGAATCTGAGGTGGCTCTGAGGGAAGGGTCAGTGCATGTGTGCTCTCTGTGGCTCTACATGCAGAAATTCATGGAATCGGAGATCCAAGAGCCTGAAAAAAAAAAATCCCAGCATCACAGAAGGCAGCTGAAGTCAGCTGTTTCTTCTAAAATGTCTTGAAAAGAGCTGGTCATGCAAAGCCCGTTCCTCTTCTAAGGGGCTCCTTTCCTTCTCAGTGCTCTCCTCGGGGTCAGTGAGCTCTTCTCTGGCTCTCTGGGGTTTGTGTGCTTCTTGAATCTCCATTGGAACAAGAGAAGTATTTTCACTCCCTGTGCATAGTCCACAACTCATCCCATCTCATTCAGTTCAGCAACTCAAGATTTCTTAAAGAAACTAAGTACTGCAGGATCGAATTTAACACAATCAGGATACCATCCAGGAAAAAAAAACAGACCTACATCACCTCCCCCCTCCCCCAGCTGAAAAGCACATTTTAACAAAAAGTACATTTCCACATCATGCTTTCCATATTTATGTCTGATTGCAAAAACCACTACCTTATAAAACAGATCATGAAGTTAATGAACTGTGGTTTCAAACCTTTATATTTGTTCACATTTTCTCTTTTGTTTAAAGGAAAACAGAAAGTGTAGATTTCTGATTTTTTTTTTTACCCTGGGGTGCATTCAATTTTGTGTTGTGTGTGACACATGGACTACATTGCCTGCATATTTATTTTTGTGCATATACAGTAAATGGGTTTTGCATGGTAATTAACAGTGCTGCTAAACGATTCGCTGTTGTGACAACTGAGCTTCAGGTTTTTGGGGCCTGACGCTTCAGCCACTGTCAAGAAAACTGAATCTGTAAATTCAATTTTGCAGGGACCAGACGGACTGCCAGTAGCAGGATGTTGGCATAAGGTACAGTAATATTAACCACTGTATGTCCTCGAACAAGCCCTGAGTAATTTTTCTGGCTGCATGGTGATTGTTTGCCCTGCTGCACGTCCCTTACAAGCCTGGCAGACACAACGTCATGCCTTGGGAGAGCAGCATTCCAGCAGCTTCATGTCTTGTTCTCCACTGCTCTAGGCTGGTGCTGGGAACACCAAGAACTTGCTAAGCACAAAAAAAAAAAAATCATTATTGTTAATGCTGTCGGTAGAATGACTTTTTACGGGCTTGCTCAGGCTTTTATTATGGCCCAGGCAGCTCAGGAAAGGCTTCACCACTCTGCAAGATGTGCTCCTGTAACTCCCTCAGCTCATAACCTCGAGATGAGAGTTTTACAGCAGGTTATTGCTTTGTTGCAGAGTTACGAACATTTATGGCCAAACAAGGGCCCTTCTGCCCCTGTAATTCCAGCCCAAAGCCACCACACTGGCTGAGTGCTCCAATCAGTACCCCTGGGGCAGGTAATTCACTCCATCTCCTGCACCCAGAAGAGCCAGGGGTTGTAAGTGCTAGTGCAGCCTGGGAGGACAGAAGTGTCCACTGGGACACGAGGATTTAATCCAGACTTGCAGGACCCTCATTCTCTGCCAAGGGTACGACACTGAAGCTGAGAGGAATTACTGACCCAGTTGTACATGGATGCAGTTGGGAGTTAACAGCAAGCATGTTGCAAACCCTCAGTTAGAATGTGAGCACACCCTTAGCACATCCAAGTTTTTAATTATGTGTCATTTGGATGTTTTGTTAATATTAAAAGAAATCTGAATGCCAGTCCTTGTAATACTAACAATAAGGAAAGGAAGTGTAATGAATGGAGCATCTCTCTGATTAAAATGTTTGTCTGTGTGTTCTTTTTTCAGTGATCCCTAAGCATGAAGCACAATATGTAAATAATGTGATATAGTTTGATCTTTTTTTAATTTTTGTATAAAAAAAAGGAAAAAAAAAAAACTTTCGACAGTAATATATTGACCTTTTTTTATACCGGATTCTGACATTTACGGACTTGGAAAATATTGTAAAGCTCCCAAAGCCATAAAATACACATGGTTAACACCAGGATTTGATAAAGGTACTGCTGCCAGTAGCTGGGAATGAACAGTATTTTCACTGCTCGTGCTGCTGTGTGAACTAACAGTACTGAGGGCGAATCCCTGTCCTGGTCTGGCTCTCACCTCTGTGTCTGCTCTGCATTGCACATTAAAAGGGGGAAAGAACCTGGCTGAAAACAAAGAAAAAGAGGATGCAGTCCTGAAAATGGAAGAAGCTGCTGTCAACTGTCTGGGCAGACAGGACAAGGACTTGCAACCTGCAGAGGAGACAAAGCCGAGCTCCGTTCGTCGCTGCTGGGGTGGAAACAGCAGCTCTGGGGCTGAGCAGAACAACCCTGACTGCCTCTGGTTATTTCTACAACCAGGAGAAGCTTTTTTTTTTTTCCCTCAAGGGGAAGCACCTTTAAGTCCTGGTTCTGGGGTCTGTGCCTGAAGATGTGCCAGCACTTTGTTCCTGTGGAAGCCGAATTCCCCAGGAAGCCTCTGCTGGAGAATTTCAAAACACAAAAAGGTGGCAATACTTTCAGAGCAGAGAATTGCAGGACAGGCAGGGCTCTGCTGAAGTCCCTTCTTAAACAACAGAGCATATAATTTTGCTGTTGGGATTCCTAGAACTTGGGAGTTTGGAGTATTTAATTGTCTTGGTTTGTGGGTTTCATTTACTTATTTTTTTCTTGGTTTACATGGTTTTAACTGTAAAACTCTAACTCTGCACACTCCTCTTGTCTTCTTTCTTCTCTTCCCCCTTTTCAGTCTCTTTCTTTAAACTATCTCAGGCACATCCCACGGAGAGCAGGGCAATGAATAAAAGGATTATTATTTTGATATCTGCATATGCCACTGCGAGATCCATTAAAAACTATTCCTCAGTTTCCATTTTCTTGAGATGTTAAAAAAAACAGAGGCTGTGCAGTAGAGAGCCATAAAAAATTATTTCCAAGAGGAAAAGGATGGTTTACAGCTGAGTCTGTTCAGCTTACAATGAGGATCAAGAGGCAACCAGATTCCTTTATAGGGAGGAGACACTTTCTATTAACAAGTTCTTAAACTGAACAGAGAAACATGTACAAACATCCATCCAATGGGTAGAAGCTGAAGCTACACAAACTCAAACAAGCAAGCTGTGGGTTTTTATTGGTGAGACTGGTTAATCCTAACCAGGCCAGTGATGTAATCCCCATCACCTTAATGCCTTTTTTTTGATGTAACAGATCATTTCTGGAGGAAATACTTTAGCCCCAGACAGGTTGCTGGGTTCTGTGTGGGCGTCTTAGATGAAATGAAGAGCCTGACCACGATATCAAACAGATGATATCAGGGCTCTCTGTGGCCTTGATCTTAGAGAACACAGACTGGAGTCATTTTCGGTGCCCTGAGTAGATCCAAAAACCTCTGTTAGATTCTTGCTTCACTGCCACTCCTACTGCAGCTACTGCCAGAGAGAATTGAGAGGGATATGACTGTCCAGGTGCAACTGCCCTGTACAAGCTGACCTGGTGCTACAGGAATTCCTGCTCCAGTGTTGTGAACAATGTTGTGGGAATGTGCTCTGTGCTCCATGCAGGTTGGGTGATGGCTGTGGGTTACCTGTGACTGGGTCCTGGGTGTCCTTGAGGTCGTGCCTTTAGCTGGGAGCACGTGTTGTGTGCTGGTAAATGCTTGCACTGCCCATCTGCCTTGCTGGGTGTGGACACAGGAGACTTAAGGGCTTGTAGGCAGTGAAATTGTTACCTGTCATTGTTGGCTGCTTAGGGTCTACACCTACACATCACTTGTGGCTATACTTGGCATCTTCACCAGTTACTCACCATTTTCTTGGTCACCATATAGATTAAATCCATGTAAATTCATATCAACTAACAAATCAAGAAACAAGAATTATGTAACTCAAAACAGCAATGAAAATGCATTTTATTTACTTCCATTTCATGTTCTTAGCTATCACTTTTGGTGTAGGGGTTTTTAAAGGCATAAGGAGCAGCTAGCGAGCTCCCACTGGCTTTTAGTGCTTTTGAAAAACCCCTTTATTGTCCCAAATTAAAGCTAAAAAAATCTTCTGTGAAAGGTTGAAGGCAAATCTCTCATTGATGTCGCCAGGAAGATCTGTAATTGTTCCCTTAATGTACAGTTGCTCTTCCCATCTGCCCCAGTCATCTCCAAACTAAAAGCAACTCACTACTCCAAACCACACTGTGGGCTCTTCTACACTCAAATTCCTGCCCGTGTCCTGATCACGGAACCTCTTTCAGTATCAATGAGAGTTCAGTCCCCAGAATGACTGCAGAAAGCACAAGAATCTGGAAGTGTCCACAAACAATCTACAATGCAGATAGAAAAGTCTTGTTTTACATACGCTGGCAAAAACTAAACAGCTTTCTATCTAGCTCCTACTTGAAGAAGTTTGATATCACTGAAGCTACAAGACAAGCTAACCTCCAAAGCTTATGAAATTATATTAAAATTTATATTTTCTCTGAGGAAATACCCCGAAGTCCTATCTTCAGGTAAACAAGTCAGTATTCCGTCTTCAACTTGTGGAATATCCAGTGCTTGTAGGCATCAACTGTGACCACTGCCAGGCCTGCAAAACATTGACACAGAATACCAGAATTGTGCTTTACCTATTGCTCTTCACCGTCCCCCTCCCAGCACAGAGCTCTGCTGCCACAGCACCCGGGACATCATCGGTTGTTAGGGAGGAAGAGCTCGTTTGGAATCACCTAAACCTCGAAACCAGGGGGGTTACTGCCCATCTGCTCTACCAAGCCCTTCCACCACCAAAGCAGTGGAGCTCTGTGGGGAGCAGAGCAGGGACTGTGGTTCTGATCAGCACTTTGGAGTCCCTCCTGGTCCTCAGCTGAGATCGTGCATTTGGCCTTTATGTTCTGAACTGGATGACCTTTCAAGTTCCTTCAAACCCCAGCCATTCTTTGGTTATCAATCACATCATTCTGATCAACAGACTTCATTAGAGGGACTGTTGGGTTTTGTATGGATTGCACAGAGTGCAAGAGGAAATCTGTTCAGACTCCCATGTGCCTTCCACACACACACACACACACACATATTTAGAAGAGTAGGTTGTTAAATACAGAGCAGTCATGATCTTATTGCAACGAGTTAAAAAAAGATGTGCTTTGCTCAGCAACTGCATGCCAGATCAGTTGATTATTTTCTCCTTCCAGATGAAAATGTTTATGTGGCTCTTTTTGAATACTTTTGAGTTTGCAAATAGCTCACGAAGATGAATTTTACTTTTAGGTAGCACTGGCAGTCTTGCTCCAACTCAGTCATGCTCTCAGTCTCTCACAAAGCACAGGGCATTTTTTTTTTCGCCAGGAAACCTCTTTTGTTTTCCCTTCTGGTTGGAAAAAATGTGAGACTGTTTTACAGCAATCCTGAAGTGCCTAGCAAAACGTTACCACTACATGTCAGTAGCAATAAAGATGATTGACAGGGATGCTGCTAATGCTTATGAAATGTGGGTCAGTCTGAGACCGAACAACTGATTTTTCTTGATCACTAAAATATTTGGCACATTGACTCCATGGGTTCATCAACAGGCATTCTGGGTAACACACACTGAAGTTACTGATCTTGGGGGAACCTGAAACTCAGACAAATTTATTTTTGTTTTCTAGTTTACAAACCCAAAATTCCTTTCCCTAATTTAAATGCCTGTGAAAGCATGGTGGTTTAAGCTAACCATGTCTGCCCGGGAGCAGAGGACAAGCAGCTCTCTCTAAGGCTTGTTCTATTTACAATTGTGGCTGACAATTATCTTTCCAGTCGCTACCAACATCCTCTCTCTAAGGGGCTGCAGGGAAGCAAAGTTCCCAAACTGAGTCCTAAGGGCACAAGAGCTCACGTGAAAGCCCTGAAAGGGATTTTCAGCCACAAAGCTCTGCAGGCAGGGCTGCCTTGCCACGAGACAGGGCAGGTCGTGTCAGTCCTGGTGCCCCAGGAGTGGTGATGCTGCTCCCAACTGGGGAGACTTTGGGGGAGAGGGGGAATGTGGCCAAAAAAACCCCACATGTGTAACTCCAGCAGTGCTGGCAGCTCGAGAGGGCCCTTGCCAGAGCATGAACCTGATGACTTGGCCTGTGCTGATGGGGACAAGTGAGATTAATTAAGAGTTTTTGCAGCTGAATCGTGGCTTGGCCAGTGAGTTCAGGAATATTTCTCTGGATTATGAAACAGGTGGCAGAGAAATCCCGATCTGACTCCAAACTGAAACTGTTTCCAAGTGTCAATGAACCAAGATTTTACTTAAAAAAAAAAAAAAATCATCAAGATGTTGCCACATGCTTTGTTTTATTCCCATGGAGGAGTCCTGTCCTCACTGCTTCTGACACTTGCTGTGTATAAAATGGTGATGAATTGATTTCCAGATGGATTTTTCTCCTATTTAAAAATAAGAATGTTTCTCCTAATGGTAAGCAACTTTCTGATGAGTTTTTTTTCTTTTTAGGAAACCAATAGGTGAAATATTTAGATGAGCTTTTGTCTTCTGTAATTTCAATAATTTAGCATTTTAAATTCTTAAGCAAACCAGCAAAACACGTGGGAGGTTTCAGCATCTCAAGACATCCCATGCAATGGTGCAAAATAATCCCCAGAGAATGACACAGGTTGACCTGTGGTTTTAAGATTATTATAACAACCCACTAATAACCAGGCTCAATTTTTATACACATGGTTTTGCAGTCAGCCAAATCACAGCAGGCTCTTGGGCGAGAATGAAAGAACCCACCCATCATAATGCACAAATAATTGAAGTTAATAATAACATTAATTTTTTTTAAAAATGTATTTCGAGTTATAAGATGGCAGAAATTTCCAGCTTTATCACGGTAAATAACTCCACCCCCTGCCTCCTCAGCCTGTCAATATAATGTGTATTATAAAGGTGTGTCAGAGCACAGATTTCCTGCTCAGTGAATGGTGATTCAATGCTGCCCTCCAGAGGAGATATTTTTAATAAAAAACAAATTTATGCACATTTTAGGCTGTGACACTGTCCCTTAACTGGCAGCACAGAGAGACTTCTGCATAACTGTGGTTTGAACTGATATTTGTAAAACAGCAGCACATAGATAAAAATTTTGGTTTTTTTCCAAAGCTGGTATTTCCTTCTTGGGAAATACTATCATATTCTCACTTGTTTTTTCAGTCCCACTGTTGCCCAGATAATTTAAAGCATTACACAAATCAAATCTTCCTGCAGCAGGTTACATGTCATGTTTCTATTTTTAAAATTTTGCGCATGAAAGCTTGGAGTTATTTTCTTTAGAGAAAAAAAAGATTTTTAGTTAAGATACGCAAAAATATTAATAAAAAAAAAAGATAAAAAACCATAAAAATTAAAACATTTCCGGGTTTTTTTCTTTTTCACAAAAAGGAGGGGGCAGAGGGAAACATCTGGTCACTCTGGTTAGTCCAGTCTCAGTGTCATTTGCTGGAGTCACCTGCCTTCTAATTGTGTCCCTGGCACTGCACTGAACCTGGCCAGAATTTGTTTGAAATGATTCCCAGCTCTGCTTCAGGGAATTTACTGCAGACTGAGGCAAACCAGGCAGTAAAAAAATCCATTTCCCTAAGCTTTATTTACCCTGGTGACCATTTAGATTTGTAAGCTAAAAACTGCAGTGTTTTCACATCCCCAGGTGAGCTACTGCAGCTTTTCCATGTGCTTATAAGGGGTGTGTAAATGTTGTGTAACCTGCAGCTAAAGCAAGTGCTGAAAACCTGACTTAAAAATCAATGGAAGAAGGACTTTAATAGATTATATTATTGTATACTACTGGGGAGAGCTTGGGAAAGCTGGGAAACTTGAGTTTTCCATGCATAATAAGTTGAATTATTGACAGGAGAGTGGAATAACAATGGAACAAGAATTATATTAGTAACATTTGCGGTTTTCCTATGTCTTAGGACAACAATTAATTCCTGTTTGTTAAGTTGCCTCATAGTTGCATATTTTCGTGGAACAGTGTGTCAGTGTGTGGTTTCTTACATAATGTAGATAATGAACAGAAACTGAAAATGGAGATGGCCCAAGCATCTGTAAATGACAGTAATATCCCTTGCTGATTTTTTATATACTGGTAAATACTGCATTTGAAAAGTGCATTTTATATGAATTTATGAAGTGTAGGCAAGTCTGTATCAAACTTGCATTTCTGCAATTATATTAAAAAAATTAGGGCCTGGTTTTGCAAAGCAAAAGCATCCACATTACCCACTGAATTTGTGAATTTAGTAGAAGAGGTGGTGAACTGCCATCACTCAGAATGGGAGTTGGAGTCCTGTTGTGTTTGCTGGTTTGTTTCATAGAGTGCAGTTTTACAGACAATTCCATAACAGGTAATTTTTTTTGTTACTATTTGGGGTTCTTTTCCTGCTAACCTAAAAAAATCAAAAATCTTCAGTATGAGGAAAGTTCAGCACAAAACACCACAGTCAAAACCTGCTCTATGTCCATTCTATATCCATTTATTTGGACACAGAAATATTATAAAAGTGGCATGCACACCAACATTTGAGAAACTGTACCTGCTGGTACTTAAAATCTGACTGAAAACCTTACTTATTTGTAGAAAAATACATGCAGTGTGTGCCTTCTCCGTCCATATTTGTTTGGAAATTATGCCAGTAGAGCTTAATCCTCTACCCTGTTATGCAAGTGTCCCTCATCTGTGGAGTGGTTGCATCACTCCAGGGAGGCTGTTCAGAGGAGAAAGGGCTGTTTGTGTGTGTGCAGCGTGGACACCTTGCCAAAATTAGTTTTGTTTTGAATGTATTTACATGGTATTCTATACAAAGCTGACTAAATCTATATATGGATATTAAAAATGCAGAAAATGTATTTAACATCTCTACTTGCAAACTTTTTGTGACTTTTTTTAATCGTGTTATGTGCCATGAAAATTATTCTATTTACTCATTTCTTTGGGGAACAACTACTTTAAAAATGAAGGCATTAATAACAGTATTTCTTATCCATTGTTTTAACATGTTAAAATGGTATTAATTAGTACTGCATCATGTATTTCTATTAAAGCTGTAATGGACAATACATTACCTTGAGACCTCAAAAAAAAAATTTTTTTCTTGTGCTTTTTTTTAATAAAAGCAAAGACTAGTTTTTAAAAAATGGTCTCTCTGTACAGATTACTTTTGCAGTTGTGTGAATATGTATAATGAACTCTGCATTTGTAACCAAGAGTAAACTTTCCAAATTGTAAATGTTCAGGTTGTTCCTATAAATAGCCAGTAAATATCTTAACCAGACAAGAGTTCAAATAAAGATTAACAGCCATAATTAACCTTTTCTCCACTGTCTTTTGTTACTTAAAACCTTTTTATGGAACAACTGGGTTTGACTTCCTAAATTCAATCTAACTTTTGAGTGCACAGCAATTTGGTTTTGCATTCTCCATATTATACAAAGTTTAAATTGCTCCTGTGTTTATCGACTAGTTGCAATTAGAGATAATTTTAGTGGCTGTAGCTGGTCAGCAAAGTCTGCCAAGAGTAATTTTTAAAGGGTCTGCTTTGTTTAGAAAAACACCTGAACAGATGTTGTCAGCAAAAGAATGTGAATGAGTACTTGGAAGGAAAAGAAAAAATTGTAGCATTTTTTAGAATGAATCTGGCTAAATTGATGGATTTGGTTATGGATACAACACCTACACAGTAGCAGAACTTAACCTATCCCAGAACCTCCCTTCTGGTTATCATCTCCCTGTTTTTCTTTCGGTAATTCCAGTCGAACAGGAACAGAGGAATAACCATTCTAATCTGACGACAGCATTTCCTCTTTGAATCCTAACTATTGCCAGTCCTTGGACTGGCTTTTAAGGAGTCGTCAGTCAGGTCTGCTTTTATCTGCCACCGACCAAACACAGAGGTGCAACATATAAATACTGGTTTTACTTTTGTTTAAATGGTCAAGCACGTGTTGAACAACTAACTACTTCACTTCTAACAGGCAGGTTAACCCCTCAAATGATTCTCAGCTGTAAAAGCCGCTTCCCTGGCGTGTATTTTGGAAGGAGGGTGCCCTGGCTGTACTAAAGGTGCTGAAGGCGCTGTAGCCCAGAGGGATCGGGGTGCGGTTTGAGGGGTCCCGGAGGGCTCAGCCTCTCCCGGTGAGGGGAGCGCCATGCCCGGGCCGGGCGAGTTCCCGGTGTGTTCGCACCCCGGGCTGCCCCAGCCGTGCCGGGGGTATCGCCGGGGCTGTGCTGGGCGATAAGGGCGGGCAGAGCCCGTGTGCCGGTCCCGCCCTCCCCTCACGGCCCGGCCCCCGCGGGAGGCGGCCGCTCCCCCGCCCTGCCCTGCCCTGCCCTCCCTCCATCGCTCCGCTGCTCTCCCGGCCCGGCCCGGCCCGTTTCCCCGGCCATGCGGGCGGCCCAGCCGCGCTGCCGGCAGCAGACCCTGTCGGAGCGGCGGCGGCTGATCGGGTGAGTGCTGCGGGAGGGGCGGGCGCTCCGCCTGACGTGGCCGCGGGAGCGGGGCCGAGCCCAGCGCCATCGCGGGGGCCGCGCCGAGCCCGCACGGCCGGGCCGAGCACCGCCGAGGCGCGGTAATTAACGGCAATTAGCGTTTCTTAACGAGGGGCATTATGAAACTCAAGCGTAAAACCCGTATGATAGCGAGCGTGCCGGTGTAGACACTAAACTGCTTAGAAAGCGCTTCCCCAGCACGGCTGGGGCTGCCAGGTCGTGCTGGGCCAGGCTAGAACAGCTCCCCTGCTGTTATAGCCCGTCTGTGAGAAAACTCAGTACACCAAAAACGCGGTGTTAACAATAATTAACAACATATCTCTGCCCACTCCGAGAGGATGGACTACGAGACTCACTTCCAAACTTCCATTTATTGGTAGTGTTTCAACCAACCCAAAAAAGTCTTTGTTATGTAGACGACCCACCAGGAAAGGCAGCAGAACTATATTTAACTCTAGGAATACTTTCATATCATATATATTAAAAAACTATAAGGCTACTTTTATGTGTTTTATAAATCCAGAAATTAGGCTGAAAGTAAATGCTGGAATTAGAAATGTGCCAGTTACACACACCTGAAAAACACCACTCCAGGTATTTTAATCTTTTTTCCAGCTGCTTTGCCCTGCCACTGGCAACAAAGACCAGGCCTCTGGAAGCAGTTTCTTAGCACCTTTGAACAGTCAGGGTAACAAAAAAACCCCAACTGTTTTACCATTCTATGCCAGCTGACACAGAAAGTATTGGATTCCTTAGGGGAGGGATAGTGAAGCAGTTTCTCACTTTGTCCTTTGTTGTTCATTTGACAATAGCTTTGTAATCACAGTCAAATCACTTTTGTATAAGCAATCTTTTAGTAAATGCAGTATGGAAGTTTGGCATTGCCATTCAGAGTCAAATCTCTGCAGCTCCTACTTAAACAGACGTGCTTCAATTTTACTTGTTTGCCAGTTGGTTTAAAAAGTGAAACAAAACAAATGCACGTAGGTAGACTCAGCCTAAGAAAATCAGAGTGCTTTAAATAAGGCAAGTGAAGCTTTATACAGCTGTAACATTCACCTGCACTAAACTGTCTGGAAAACCAGGACCTTGGCAATAATAAAAAGAACACCATAAAAACAATTACAAGATAAGAGACACCAAAGAGGGTTTCATAACACGAAGGGCAGAGTAAGGTAAGGAAGGAGCCACAGTAAAGACAGGATGAAACTTTAGAGGTGAGTTCTACTGTGTGCTGGGGCTGGATTCCTAGAGAAGGATTTTCATTCTGGGGGGTTTTGCCTGTAAATCTAATAAAATCTGAATTGCTTTAGAGCCCAAGGCCTTTGTTTTAGGGGCCAGAAGCAGGATGACAGCACATGCCCACAAACAGGGGAAAATGTCTTTATTAACTGAACTGAAAATATTACCAGCAGGATAAACTAAACTCACCAAGATTTATTTTGCTTTCTGATGCCTGTTACAGCTCTTCCTGCAAGCTGTTTTTCTCCAGTGATCCACTGAAGATTGTGAAGGCAAAAGGCCAGTATATGTATGATGAGGATGGAAGACAATACCTTGACTGCATAAACAACGTTGCTCACGGTAAGCTAAAGTCAAATGTTATGTGATGCCTTGTTTTTCTAAGCAGAACAAGGAACAATCAGTACTTTTGCCACTGTTCCATTGTGCTTAGTTGGAAAAGTAGAAGGGACCCTTCTTGTGCCTGTAGTTCCAGGGAACTGTGGTTGGTTTGAATTTCTGTGTGAATGTGCTTTCCAGAATTGCTCCCTGATCGGTTTTCCTAGAAATGTATCTTAAATGTTCAGATTTTTTTCCATGGAAACTCAAGTAAAGCACTTCCCTGTAAAACTAACAAATGGCATTTTGTTGTGTTTGTAAAAGTTACTGATAAGTGTACAGTCACAGGACCACTGCTCAGTGTGGTGCCTTAATTGTGTATTATTAAGTCACTGCTGCTTTCTCACAGGATTTGAAATCTCTCAAACCTAAGCCCTACCAGGACTAGTACTTCTTTGATGGTAAAACATGTTCCCAAACTCCTAAATTACGTCAATGTCTACATCCAAGTATTAAATCAGACACTATTTGTTTTAACACATCAATTGTCAGTACTAACTACAAACCTTCAGGTACAGTAGCAGGCAACTTCAAACCTTCCAAGGGGCAAACCCATGTTACAAAGTGTACCATCACTGTCTGCTGCTGACAATGTCATTAAGGCCCCACTGAGGAAATCACAGTCATCATAAAAGTATTAAATTGGTACATGAATGAACAATGTGGGCAGTATTCAAGAACTGTCAAACCACTCTCGACATTCTCTTGCAGTTGGGCATTGTCACCCTGATATAATTAAAGCAGCCCATGAACAGAATCAGCTGTTAAATACAAATTCTCGTTACCTTCATGACAACTTGGTAGATTATGCAGAGAGACTTTCAAAAACACTACCTGAGAAGTTATGCATCTTCTATTTTTTGAATTCTGGGTAAGTTGGGAACATCAGAATTGATACTGGGGTTTTACTGGGTATATACAAACAAGTACAACACTTGCTTATTAACAGCCAATTTGTGTTGGTGTGGTGGATGACTCGATACTGACATTGTTTGGGGTGTTGGTTTTTGGAGAAACTGGTTATTTTCAGAAGTTCAGTGACTGAGCTTCACACTTAGCAAGCTGTCTACCTGGGAATTAAACTAATGCTTTATTTAAGAAGGAGTTTATTCCATTTGTAAGGCCTTGGACTACAAAACAGCAATGTAAATATTTACTGTATAGTTCTGGTCTGACTAGTCTTCTGACTTGGAAATTATATCCAAAATTAAATGTACCAATGCATTATTTCTGCTGGAGGGGGTGTGTGTGTGTGTCATATTCTCAAGTAAGCTACAGCTAGGAGAAAAAAACCCAAACTGTTTCCAAAGTAGTTTCTGCACTGAGCTTTTTAAGGTGGATTCTGTTCTGGTGAATTCAGTCAGAATTCAGATTCTGACACCAGTCCTGCCTAATTGGTGCCAATTTCTAAGGGATCTGTGCAAAACATGCATCGAGTTCTGTCTGTTCTTAGGAGACACAAACAGCATGGCAAGGGAGGTTCAGTTTTCCAAACTCAGGACACATCCTCAATGAAACATTTCCTGAATTTTCCAATTGCAGATCTGAAGCCAACGATCTTGCCCTGAGGTTGGCACGACAGTACACAAGGCACGAGGATGTCATCGTGTTAGATCAGTAAGTACACCGGCAATTTCATCTGCTTTGGGGAACAAGGCTCAGTTTCAGCCCAAGGTCAGAGCATTCCTGAAACCCTCTGGTAGTAGAAAGATTACCCTGGAAGCTGAGGGGAGTAATTTTTCCCTCTGTTCAGTGTTTGTGAGAGCAGCCCAGAGAGCTGTGGTTGGGGAGCCACAAGAGTAAGAGGTGCTGGATTTGTTCAGCTGCAAGAGAGAGCCAGGGAGATCCTACTGCAACTACAGCTGTGCCAAGGGAAGGGGCAAAAAAGATGGAGCCAGTCCTGAAGATGTGTGGTGACAGAAAAAAAAAGATTTAATACAGAAGCTGAAACCTGAGGAATTTTGATGAGACATAGGGAAAACTCTTTTACCATGAAGATGGTCAAATATTTGAACAGGATGCCCACAGACACTGGCAGCTCCATCGGTGGAGGATATTCAGAAATAGGCCCTTCCAGTTGTTCTGCAATCTTGTAATACTGCTCCTGACTTACCCTGCAGGGATCTGTCACCAGTGCAGGCAAACCGGTGACCAGTCCTGTCCTTCTGCATCCCTTCTATTCAGATACACCAACAAAAATCCACATAACTACTAAGCTTGACAGAAACCGCAGAGCTCAGCTTAAGTGACTGTATTTCCTACCAAGTAACAGAACCTGATTACTCCTCACTATCTGTAATGCTAATCCTGAACAACTCTTGATACTAAGGAAATTACTGTCTAGTTCTGCCAATTGTTTTTTAAGTGCTTACCATGGACATCTGACATCTTTGATTGACATAAGCCCATATAAATTCAGAAATCTAGAAGGACAAAAGGAATGGGTCCACGTGGTATGTACTCCAGCCTATATCTATCAATTACTTCTCAATTTAATGAAGTTATATTTGTGATATATTGAATATTTGGTATTGTTCCTTTGCATAGGCTCCTGTTCCAGACACATTCAGAGGACTTTATAGAGAAGACCATGAAGATTCAGTGACAGCCTATGCTGATGAAGTGAAAAATATTATTGATCATGCACATAAGAGAGGTAGAAAGGTAAAAAGTTACTTTCTTAACCATTTGTCTTGCCTTAGAAATGAATGTGACTGTCAGTGCCGTTCAGGGTTACTGAGCTAAGGGGTATGGACTTGTCAAAAAGAAAAGATCACATCATAATGCAAAAACCAGCTCAGGACAAAGAGCTTGCTCCACAAGTTTCTCTACTGTGTTTAAACATCACATGCTACCTGTGTTTCAGATTGCTGCATTTTTTGCTGAGTCTCTACCAAGCGTGGGAGGTCAAATCATTCCACCAGCAGGTTATTTTCAAAAGGTTGCACAGTAAGTGTCATTCGTTACCTTAGCTTTTTAAATTTCACATATTTGCTAAACAGAGATAAGAGACAAGCAGGAAACTACCTAAGCCTGCATGTTAGAATGTAAACTTTCGCTTTTAAACACATGATCTGGAACATAAGGCTGTACAGGTTTGTTTCCTGAAAGTTTGCCAACTAATGCTTTCTGCACGCTCCTGATCAGTAAATACCATGTTCTCTTTCCTCTCAGGAGACAATAACATCTCTTGTTATAGGCATGTGCACAAGGCAGGAGGCGTATTTATTGCTGATGAAATTCAGGTTGGCTTTGGCAGAGTTGGGAAGCACTTTTGGGCATTCCAGCTTCAGGGAGAAGACTTTACACCTGACATTGTCACTATGGGGAAACCAATAGGAAATGGGCACCCTCTTGCCTGTGTAGCAACCACAAAGGAAATTGCAGAAGCATTTGCAGCCACAGGAGTGGAGTATTTTAATACAGTAAGTAAAGAGTTGCCCAAACTCTCCTTTAAAAATTAATAATGCAGTGTTGTTATTAATATTTAGTGATATTTTATTAATATTTACCACAGTTACTGTATGATTTCCATCTCTATCTTTCTGGTAAATGACTCTATTCACTGACTCCATCTGATCAAAGTGGTAGTAAGCTCACTCTAGCACTGAGGCTACACTTCCAGTGACACCATTGGATCTCTCTTCCCTTTCCCTGGCTCTGTATGTTCCTTTCCTGGGCTCAGTTTGGTGGAAACCCTGTTTCATGTGCCATTGGATTGGCTGTGCTGGATGTGATTGAGAAGGAACACCTTCAGGATCACGCCACAGAGGTTGGCAACTTCTTGATGAAGCTACTCAAGGAGCAGCAAATCAAGCATCCCATCATTGGTGATGTCAGGTATCAGCGCCTTAATTTACATTTTTACCTACTTTTTTTATTTGGTGCAGTCAAACAACTCAGTCCAATAGATGTTTGGAGAAATTATTTAAATTTGTGTTTTCAGCACAAATAAACAGCCTGCTGTACGTTAGATTAAAATAAACTTGAGCTTATCAAAAGCTTCTTATACTTTGCCACTGGGTCAGTACTGGTTTATCAATTTATTAGCTGCTACCTGAGTTCACTTTCCTGTTTGAACTTTTACGTCAAGTGCACAAAGTACAGAAGTGATGAGCTAGATGGAAAACACACTGAACGTCCTGCCTTGTGCCGCCCTTCTGAGCAGACAGGTCTATATTGTATCACCACATTTCTTCAAAACAGCAAACCCTTTTCTATCAGTAGCCAAACATCAGGTAATTCTCATGCAGTAAAGGCCTGGTCTTACAAAAACCTGGATTTTAGTTCACTTGCAGATCACACAGAGTGACTGTTCTTATTTCTTTTCAAGGGGTTGTGGCTTATTCATTGGAGTGGATTTAATCAAGGACCAGGCAGAAAGGACCCCAGCCCCAGCAGAAGCAGAGCACCTGATAACAAGGTACGTGGGACAATCATGGAGTTCCCCAGCGTGGGAGACAAGCACACAGCTCCAGACTACCGTTGCCCCTCAGTAGCTGTTAAAATACAGCAATCTGGCCAAAAAAGTAACCAGTGAGTGGAGAAAGGCACTGCATGACAGACCCCATGCTGGTTCTTGCACGTTCTTCTGAACTACAGGTGAAGGTAAACATGATTGTTTGTAATTGCCCTTTCCAGACTTAAGGAAGAACATATTCTACTGAGTACAGATGGACCAGGAAGAAATGTGCTGAAATTCAAGCCCCCAATGTGCTTCAATATGGAGGATGCAAAATTTGTTGTGGAAACAATGGACAAGATACTAACAGGTAGAACTGATCAAAACCCTCAAAAATAGAGGATGGGTTGAACTGCCTCTCAGGCACTGCTGAGCTACTCAACCTGCTTTTCAGAGGTGCTAAAATAGAGCCAAGATGGCAGATGCAGGGCACACAACCCTCCCTTCTAAATTACTCTGGTTTGAAGTTTTCTAACAAAACTGTTTCCTCCACAGATGCAGCACATGCCTCATTTTAAAATAGCTTTGCTCTGGCTGAGATTTAAGTGTTTACCTATCTGAACAAGGGCAACTGGTAAAAACTGTCCAAATATTCCCAAAAGCCATAATTTGTGTGCATTTGCCATTTAGCTTTTTATACAATTTCTATACAATTAGCACTAACAAAGTTAGTGCAAAAACTTTTCTCGTGATTTTGCTAAGTTGTTGCTTATTCTCTCTCCAGATATGGAAAAAGGATATCTGAACCAACAGAAAACATCTACTTGTTCTACCTGAGCAGGTATTTATCTCTAGTCACCCAGTACTAATTTAAAAGCAAGGTTCCTATACGTAACTCCACAAGCATTGTCAGAAAAAGCCTCCTGAGAGGTGCTTTTACTTGCAGTTAGTTTGCAGGAATTTCAGGCAGTCTCGTGGCATGGCCCAGACTTGTGCACATCTGGCATTCACAGCTCCTTTCTGTCAGAGGCTGACACTCCCAGTGTGTGTGTGTGCTCATCTGCTTCTGAGCCAGGTCCAACATGTCCCAGACATGATTGCCCCCACAGCAGGCTGTGCTGGGCTGGGAAGCTTTCAGAGTGACTGGGATTAACCCTTGGCATGCAGATGACATGCACATCAACACCAACACAGAGCTTTTATCCTCAGTGCCATTATCTCCAGACAGAAGCTGGTCCAGCTGCACAACTACCTCTCAGCAGATCTCCCCCTTACCTGCCCATCAGGGCATCTGCATCCCGCACTTTGGGACCCTCCACTAATGCTAACAGCTCTGTGAAGAGCTGTGAGTGGTGCTTTTGTGTTTTATTTAACATCTGACTAGGAAATGGTGTTCCCTTCTGTTCCCTTGAGCATTTTTTCCCTACTTGGTGGGATCATTTCAGGTTCATGGCTGGTATCTCATGCTTCAGCATCAATTTACCCCTAGTCAGAGGTTTGTGGGCATCAGAGTAACACGAGTCCTGTTAAGTCTTTAAAGCCTCCTAAGTCTTCATCTGTTGAGGTGCCTCCATAGGTTGCTGGGAGAGGACAGCTACCTGCAACTGCAGTTTGCCACACACTCACGAGTACAGTGTTAGTTACACCTTGGCAACAACACCCTTTGGTACCTTTAGTTCTTGTTCAACCTACTCTGACTGAAAGACAACCACATGTTTAGTAAAACTCCAGACAGCAGACAGGAACGTAGCTGATGTGATCACTCTGATCATGCAGTCCGTGGTGGTCTCAACCACCACAATATTTAAAGTGCTACAGCCCTGAGCTAAGGAGAGATGTGCTTTTAGTGCAGTGTAATATTAGTATAGCAGGCACAAGAAAAATGTGTTAATATTTTATTTAACAAGTTAATGGAAAGACATACAGCTGTTTATACTACTAATTCTTAGGAACAGAAAGATTACTTAACAGTGCCAGTGTAACTTAGAGGCCTGATGACTTAATGTGCTTGTCTGTAATCTAAACTAAGCAAGAAAAATGCTTTTATTCTCTACAGGAAACCAAGAATGCAAAAAGCCTCTTACTAAGTACAGTACTAGTAAGACACTTACATATAATGTAAGCGAAAATGAGGCAATGAAGTAGATTTCTTTTAATGATACTTTTACAAAAAAACATAACATTATTTTCTTTCCATAGGTTTCAAACAATGTTCAAGATCTACTACTAAGAAACATTATTCTACTATAATCACATTTAATCTTCAATCCTAGCATGTCTTAGACCAGATAAGTCACCTTTAATTTTGTTATTTTCAATTATCTTGTTTTTAGTAAAATCTTTAGGAGAAATAAATTTTACAAGAGCTTGTCTCAATTCTGGCAGTGTGGAATTGCCTTTGATTTAAAGCAGTTGTATCTAAAACTGATTATAAAGGAGTATCTTTCTAGTGGCTACCGTAAACTACAATTTCTAAATTCATGCTCTTTCAGGTTATGACTTTTTCAAATTAAGATGACCCAGTGGGTTCTCTCATGTGTTTCCACCTCCAGCTGCCTATGCCAACACCAGTCTAGCCACCAGTACACCCAGGCTCTTCTGACCAGTTTCAGCCACTAGTGCCATAACAGGGGCCCTGGCAGCACTAAATTCAGTCTCAACAACCAGATTAAGTCAAAAAACTTCAGTCCCAAATTTCCTAACATCAAATGCATGAGGAACAGACAGCCGAGGGCCCTCGTTCCCAAACCAGTTCGTACAAAGTCTGTCCTCCAGAAGCATCCAAGCAGGATTAGTAAATTAAGATTAGATTAGAGCCATAAACAACAACCTTGCGTACATGCCTTTGCTTTCACCAGGCAAGTACATGTTCTTTGTATCATAAACTTGTCACACAAAGAAAGGGAAAAGCCAGCTCTGCATTTAAGTACCAGGATCCTCAGATTCTGCCTTAGGCCTCATCACCTGTCAAGGAAGCATTACCTGAGAACCAACTTCCAAAATCCAGCACAGGAACAGCCAGCTGACAAACTCTTGCTAGGACACCGAGGGGCTGCAGCAGGATGGGCCTGGTACTGTGCAAACCTCCCCTTGGAGAGCCAGGTGTTGGCTACAAAAATATTCCGCTACCTCTTATTTCATAGAAAAACCAGTAAGAATATGCAATAAAGCATCGAAATTTTGCATCTTGAGACAGTAATACCTTTAAATACTGTACTCATTTGTTTCAGTGCTCTGCAATTTTTTTTATTTTTTTTTTTTGCAAGTAACTTGGGATTGAAGTTACAGGTCTTGCTGTAAAGTTCCCAACTATTAGATTTAAAATCTGTTTTTTAATGCTCAAGATTTCTGCTTAACCCAGCAAGAATCTTACAGACAGATTCTAACTTTACAAGCAGGTTTTTCTTTTCAAGGACAGCCAGCAGGGAGCAGCAGATTTTAGTCCCTGCAGAAGTAGCTGCATCTCTTGCTAAAAAACCTGAAAAGGTCACTAGTAACATCTGTTTATTTCTTGTCTTAGTTACTTGGGTTGTTTCCACTTCTGGGCATCAAAGAGATACATTACAAGGAAAAAAAATTGTCATGTTTTAGCTTTAAAAGGGAAAAAAACCCAAATTAATCACTGCAACAAACACTAGAAGTTTACTTTGTGCAGCAGAGCTTGCTACTTTATTTATAAATCTGAGACTGGGACTATTCTGCAACAAGACAGGCAAATCACATGGCAGTTATTGCCTTGAAATAGTGAACTAGTCAAAAAAGGAAAGCTTATTTCTAGCTGGTCACTCATCTCTACAGAAAGAGATGGGTTTTTTTCAACCCACAACTGTAGTGAAGTTCTTTTCACCTCCTTTGATACACAAAAAGGCTGCAAAAATTCACCTTTGCATTGGTAATTTAATGTCTGTCCAACCTGCCTTTCAAGGCAGGTATATACATATTATCAGCAACTTGGAGACAAGTCTCAGACTGGAGACAGTGACACACGAAGGGAGTGCAGCCCCAGCTTCTTCCACACCTCTTGGCTTCCTCCTGCAATGCTGTCCAGGCTCCCCAAGCCCTACCTAAAACCTCCACCTCTGGCTCCTCCAAGCAGAGCCCAACGCAGACACCAACACAGCTCCACTGAGCCCCCTAGGGCAGAGCCACCTGCTCACCAGCACAGCCCCAACAGCTGGGGCTCCTCACACCTCAGCTCTCCTCCACAAACTCCAGGCAGCAGTGACTGCAAGTTTCAGCTGCCACTTAACTGCAAGTGAGCACAACTACCAACACAGCCTTCTAGTTTTAAGGTTAAAAACATTGAAGCACAACTCTTCACCTATCCAGGTACTGCCATGAGCTAAGTTCTGGGACCAGGAACTGGTTTTACTAACACATAAGCTGAAGAATGGCACAAGACACTAGATTACGCCTTTTTTATTTCAAAAAGCTAGGATAGCTTCAATATCCATGTCATGGTGAATCAGAACACATGTAAAATACCTTACAATACATTAGATTCCAAAAAGGTACCAAAAAGTACAGTAAAATTAACACTTCCGTTACAGGAAATGTATGACACAAAAACAATACAAAATAAAAAGGTGGAAAGTGACACTGGTTCCCTAAGATGCATCTCATTCTGTACAACTGGAGTAATGCAGAGTCCACTGTTAACTCCAAGAGGCAGTCCCTAGATGCAGAGCTGCAGCTTTAAGCAGACCCTCAAAATCAGTTTCAGTTTAACCTATTAATAAAATCATTAATTAATATCTTCAGCAATGCTGAAATTTACACACCACACTGTCTAGACAACTAGTTATCTGTAAGTAATAAACATGTAAAACATTTCCAGGGAGCTCTTCCAAGTAAGATGCACATTTAACAGGCCATAGAAATTTATTGTAAAGTTAAATTTGGTACAGAACTGAAGTATCCATCTACAGCATTGTATACAAAACCTATGCAGTCATTTTCCAAAAGAGACCATGCCACTGCATACCTGAATAAGTTTGATCAATATGGCTTGTAGTTATTCTGATGACCACCACGTCTTGGTGTCTTCCCATAATTTGCACTGCCTTGACCTATGAACAAGAGAACAAATGCATTAAACTGCTAATTAGTTACGTTTGCTTATACCCAATACAGTTCTCTTTACTTACTGTAATCATAGCCTGGTCCATATCCATAATACCCATATCCTGAATAATCATAGCCTCCATAGCCACCATAACCTTGCTGATAGCCGTATCCTTGATTCCCATAACCCTGGTTCCAGTAATTGCCATAACCTTGATTCCAATTTTGACTTTGAGCTATAGAAGGGAAAACCATCCACAAAATCCCATTTTAGTACACACAACTTATTTAGAATGTGTCCATACTAAAGTAGTGTGTGTGGCACTTACCGCCGCCTCTTCCACCTCTGCCTCTTCCTCCATAGCTACCTCTTCCTCCGCCGCTGCTGAACTGTTGCTGCTGGTACACTTCTTTTGGCTGTGCTACCTTAATCTCGCACTGCAAATAAAAAAGGGAGGGTATGTAAGGTGTCCTGAGAGCAGCAGCACCCACCCTGATCTCCTGGGAAATCCAGAGGTTCCTCTGGAGGCAAAGGAGGTGGACATGCTGTGCTCCTGCTGAGGGAGCAGCACTGACGCAGAAGTGTCTGCTTTACTGCGCCACAGGGGAAAGGGGAGTCACTGTCAGCCCTTCCAAGAGGCCTCTGCTTTCAGGGAATTTTATCCTGCCTATTCCTACCATCAGTTTCCCCATGAAACAGGTGCTGATGCCACCACTCCTGTAGGAGCCACAAAGCTGCCCTGTCACCTGGCACAACCTCCAAGACAAGGCTGTTGCTGTCAGACCTCACCAGAGCTGCACTGAATGAACGAGGCTCAGGGTCTTCCTGGCAGCCTTTGCACACCCTATCCCTGTGCATGTGGTTGGACTGTACAGTACCCCTACCAGCACTGAAATCATCACTTATCCAATACTAACAGCTAAAAACAACCAGAATTGACATTTCCAAGACAGGCTGCAGCTCAAGCTGTCAGTCAGCTGCCTGGTTCCTGCATCTGTGCACAGTCGAAGATGAAAGCTGCTGCTGCTGCTGCAAAAGGAACAACAGCACCTGAGCAAGTCTGGCCTGGAGTTCTTCATCACAGAACCTTTAAAGTGCTTTTTATTATCACTGTGACACTACAGGCCATAGTTTAGGAGATACAGAAATTTATCAGCTTCCTTGGCATGAGACATTCATCTCTCCTGAAAACAAACTGACTCGATCAGTGCATTACATTTGTCAAAGTTTATTTTGTGCTGTATCAAAACCAGTCTAAGCGCAATCTAAGTCACTGTGCCAGACAGCATGAGCCAAAGTAACAGGGCTTTGAAATTATGTGTATGGACTGCACTGGCCTCAGAGCAAGGCAAGACACCTCCAGCCAGTCCACATCATTTGCCTCCAGTCCTCTCCTCATCAGCTTGAGGCATGAGCCTCTGATAGCTGTTCCCTCAGATGAGCAGGGAGCTGTTCACAGCATCTCACACCACTCTTCCAGTAATTCCCACTACCAGCTGACCAGGTTCAAGTTGCCATAAAATTTACATTCACTCTCTGAATCCTTGTAGAGGGTTGACATGGCAAGGGTTTGGGAGAAGGGGGGGCTGAAGAAAGGAGCTTCTGAGGGAAGAAACCAGAAGCTGCCCCCAGGCAGACAGAGCCAGTTTCAGCCAGAGGCTTACAAAGTTAGTGTCTGGAAGGCTTGCAATTATGCAAGGGCTCTATGCTGAAAATAAGCCACATCAACAGACATGGCCTATACTGCTACACAAGCCAGTTTCTCCTTGTATATTTAATAAATGCAATTAGATACTTCACATGCAAAAGGCTCTAGAACACAGCAATTATTAAAGCCATAAATATTGGCTAAGAATCATCTGTGACTGAACTTATGGCAAAACACCAGCAGGGTAAACTGGAAGCTGTCCTTATTGTAAATGTGGTACCTTGACACAAGAGGTCTGCAGAAACCTTTTCAAGCTACAGATGGTGTGGTATTATGCTTAGGAACTCAGACAAAAAGTTTTAAGTCAAAAGTTTCTACCTTGCTTCCACTGACGTTGTGGAATTTCTTCTCCAAAACCTTCTTCACTGGATCCTCTTCCTTGAAAGTGATGAACACAAATCCCCTCCTTTTGTTGGTCTTTGGATCCATTGGAAGTTCAATCGCTTCAATCTGAAGACATGAAATGCCATTTTCAGACTTGTATTTTAGCAGAACAGTTAAGTACAATGCATTTGGGACAGTAAAACTATTAAGTTTCCTCTCTATGCATATTATGCAACACCAAAGCTGCATGAGTCTTTCTATATTAACAGGGGCCTTCAGACCAGAGACTCCTATTTTATTAACTGTTCAGACTGATTTTAATATCAGCTAAAATGCTGTGAGTTAAAGGCAAGGGTATCCAAGTAGCACTGTAAACATCTAGGGCAGTATGTGCCACCATTGCTCTCAAGGTGGGAAACCTCTGGATCAGTTACAGAAGCTTTGATACATCTGAACTTAATTCACTTTGAAACTTCCACAGTATTAATAAACTAAATAGCGACTGGAGACTACATGTTTCAGGCTTTACCAGGATAACATTACACACCTCTCCAAACTCTCCAAAGTATTCCCTGATTTTCTCTTCTGTCGCTTCTGGGTTTAGTCCACCAACAAATATTTTCTTCACTGGATCCTTTTTCATTGCCATGGCCTTCTTGGGATCAATTAGTCGGCCATCTAGTCTGTGTTCTTTCTGTTCCAGAACCTGAAAGACAGTTAGGTATGGTTAATTCAAGCTGAAAAGCTTCCCTTCAAACCTAAGGATCCAAACCATGAAGTTCAAATTCACCTTTTCAACACTCCCAGGTTCTTTGAAGAGAATAAATCCAAAGCCCCTGGATCTTCCTGTGTTGGGGTCCATCTTTATCGTGCAGTCGGTTACCTCACCAAATTTGGTGAAGTAATCTTTCAAGTCTTTTTTGCTCGTATCCCAACTGAGGCCACCAACAAACATCTTCCTGAAATTTCAAAGAGAACAGCCAGTTAGATTCAGGAAGGACTACAGCAAAGCACGTGCAGCAAGATGCTCAGTGGCACACCCCTCAGCAGCACTGTCAGAACACAACCCACTGGGCCAAGCTGAACACTTGCCCCTTGTCTAAAGCTGGTGGTACTACAGGAGTGCACAAGGGTGGGTTTGTCCCCCTCTTTTTGAGGAAATGCCACAATGCACCCTGAAGCTGATTACAGGCTGTAAGAAACAGCACAAATTGCCTGAAATATTCCTCACCAGTAATTTATGCTCTTTCAGTATCAGGTTGTTTGGAACAAAGCAGTATTGATTATCAGGTACTGCCAACTCAGTTTTTGCAAAAAACCCAGGATCGTTCCTACGGCTCTGAAAGCATCCAGCAAAGAGTAAGGCATCAAAAGCAAAATATTTCAGCTCTTTAAGGTTTTGGTCCAATGGCTGTATAAATTTTTGTGCTAAGAACAATCTGCAAAATTTGAACCAAGTATCTGTGACCTCCAATAACAGTCACATACACGAGATAGGACTTTGGACCTGCCTTAACTACTATGTTGTGTTCTTCTTCCTGGTTAGTTACTGAATCTAGTTCTGTTTTCATCAGTACTACAGGAGCCTCTCCACTATCACCCTTTACTTCCAAAAAGGCCACCACAGTCCTTCCCTGTCCACTTTCCCATACAAAATATCCTCTGAAAAAGGAGCTGCATCTCAAAGAACTAAATTCTAGTGAGACACAATACCCAAGTGCAGCTAACAAACAAAACAGTCATATCAGGCAATAAGGCATTTTTCAAATGCTTCACTTCAAATGAAAACATTAATAACACGGGTCTATTTTCTATTTTCAGAGTTTCCAAGGTAACAAACTAAGCTTTTAAAAGCATTCGAGCCTTTTTATCTAACTATAGACTGAAGCAGTTTAAGTTGTCATTACACTGTTTAGAGGCAACCTAGATTTGGCACTAGAAGATTTCAACACTTTAAAAACTAGATTATGCCTAAATAAAATTGGCTTTTGGGGGCTTATGTGTAACTTGGATTCGCTAGAACTGCTATGCGTTTATATTCAAAAAAAAAAAAAAAGGTGGGAAAAAAAAAGTGCTTTAGGGATTTTGTGCTTTTTCCTTAACCTGGATGAAATCATATCCTTTGCAGGCTAAACCCTTGTGTTTTCCAGAAGAACTTGCTGTGCACTCTTAGCTGGTAAGTGCAGCAGGATCCTGCAGCCGTTAGGGCAGAGCCTTACAAAGTTTACTAAGCCTTTCAACAGCAGGTGAAAGGACGGTCACTCGGTGGATTCCTTCCCATCACGGCTCCCTGACCGAGCTGTAACCCGTACAGATTCCAGCGGCATCACTGACCACACTCAGCTCAGGAGTAACTCGGTGGCTGGGGGATGACAGGATTTGTCCCCAGGCAGCTTTAGCTGCTTTGTGCCATCGGGTTGGGGCTGTGCTGCCCTCACAGGCATTGCCACCCGCTCAATTCACCTCTCACCACAGCAGCACACATTACACTCTGCAATTTGCAGTGCTTTGTTTTGTAACTTGAAAGACTGATACCTACGTGTATTTAAGTAACACAACAGAGAGCCTTTGAAACTATGACCACATTCCTGTATTTGGGTTTGCCTTCAGAGGCCACAAACTGGACAACTGCACCCTTAACACCATCTTTCTTTTCTCCTCTTCAGAGTATTGGTGCAACTAAATCGAAGCTTGTTTCAGGTCTTAACAAAACACTCTAATGTCAGTGGCTTGGACAGCTCTTGTCCTAGCACAGCACTACATTTTCCACATAGGCCAACCAATCCCTCTAAAATAACTGCTTTTCTTGGAAGTTTCATTTCATACGGATTTGTGGCCAAAACTTGTCACCTCCTGAGCAGGAAAGGAAGAGCATCACTTTTTTTTTCAGAGCAAAAAACACTAAGAACAGTAAAAAGAAAACTCGCATGCGGCTGGAAGGCCTGGTTTTAAATTCTTCTAATGTCTGCAAAAGGTACATCCGGCCTCAGCTTGTAGGAAGCTTGTGCAAGTCTTATTCGTTCCTTTACGGCCCAAACCTATTGCAGTGGCTTCAGCTCTGTTGGACCTGTGGGATCTGACCCTCCGGTCCAGGGCTCGGGGATAACAAAGGGAGTTTCAATTAAATATGTGGGGTAGCCGGAATAACAAAGACCCACCTCAGAAAACAGGCAAGTCCTATACAAGTCAAGTAGGTATATTTATGAACAGACCAACTACGATATGAAAGAAATTCCTCTTTTGTATGCAAGGATGCCTCTACCAAAACTACTCTGACTGCTCCAGAAATCACCTGCAAGACATAAGCCGTTTTCTGACAATGCTGCAAAGTAGCACACCAAAATCGCCCTTACTGGTTTGAACACATCGCGCACCGTCTCCACCGTCCCGATTTTCCCTTTACTTCCTTTATAAAATACTTGCCTTACCCCGACCGCCTTCCAAAGCCAGGACTTTTTTTTTTTTTTTTTTATGCACGTTACACAAAACACGTTCGCATTTACATGAACGCCGGTCACGCGATCCCCAGAAAGCTTCAACCAGTCCCCTCCCTGCAACAGAAAGCAACTCCTTCCATCCGCCCCTTTTCGCTCGGGAGGGAAAAGGCTGAGGAAAAACGCGGGAGAGGTAAATCCCCTTCCATTTTACAGCGTGAGACGGCACCAGCCCCGCTCGGCGCCCCTCCCCCAGCCGCCACATGGCGCCAACAAAAGGCAGCGCCAGAACAAAGGAAGCGCTGGTGCTGCAGGGCCCCGGCTCGGCGGGGCCGCTCCCGCCGCCCTCCCCGCGGGGCCGGGGGCGCTGCCGGGCCCGCCGGGCCGCGCTCGGCGCCCGCGCTTACCCTGCGTCCTCCTCGTTCTTGCTGGCGTTGATCTGGTCGCCCTCGGCCCCGTTCTGGCTGGCGGCCGTGCCCGCCGTCGGCCCGGCTCCCGCCGCCGCCGCCGCCGCTGATGCCGCTCCCGCGGCCCCCGCCGCCGCCGCCGGGGCCGCGCCGCTCTCGGCCTGCTGCTCCCCGGCGTTCTCGGCCGCTTCGTGCCCGTTCTGGGTGGCGCCGGCCGCCAGCTGCTGCTCCGCTTCGGACATGGTGCCCCGTCCGCCGAGGGAGAGGGACGAGAGGCTCCTGCGAGAGACGAGCGCGGGTAAGCGCGGCGGCTCCTCCCCGGCCCGGCCGGTCTGATCCGGTCCGCTCACACCCCTCCCCCTTTCCGCCGCCGCCAACCCGCCCGTTACTCACTTTAAAACCCGCTCCCGATAAAACCCGGGCCGTCCGGACTCCGATTCGAAGCGCCCCGGCGCTGGAGCTGGAGCCGATCGCGCTGCCCGCGGCTGCTCCGCTCCGGCCGCGCCGCCACCGCCGCCTCCCCCTCAGACACGTACTCGGGCCCGGGCCCGCGACGCGTGGCCGCCTTTATAGGGCCGGAGCCTCCGCCACCCCGCAACAAGGCGCGCGCTCGTTGGCCGCCGCCGCCTGTCACTCAGCGCGCTCGGCGCTCGCCGTTGGCTGCGCCGGGGGGGTGGGCGGGGCCCGGCCGGGAAAGGCGGGCGAGGCGGGACCGGGAGCGGAATATCGGGATAGGGATGTCGGGATCGGGATATGGAACCGGGGCCTGGCGCTGTGCAGTGCCCGCCGCTCCAGCCCGAGGACGTGCCCAGCCCTCAATCCCTTTCGCCCAGGGATGCGACAGCCAGCCTGGCCAAGCCAAGTGCCGAGCTCCGCTTGCACCCACAGCTCCCAGCGCCCCGTTTGTCCCTGGGACGAGCTCGGCTTCTGGACGCGCAGCCAAAGCTCACGGCCACATCTTTAAAGAAAATAAAAAGTTAAGCGCTTTGCTTGTGGGCAGAAAGTGGTAATTATTACCTAACTTACCGTAGTCATGAGTGCACGTGGTACTGCCCGCTCCACGCTCTTAAATCTCTCTCGTGGCTCAACTTGCCTATTTTTCATCTGCTGTTACAACTCAGAAGGAGTGCACGGAGCTACTTGTGAATAAAAGTAAATAGCGGTGATACATTTTGTTAATTCTGTGTTTTGGGATCTGAGCTGTCCTCTTAGAGCACTTCTTGTCCTAAATGCAGCAGGCCAGAACTTTTCAGAGATGTCTGTCTCAACACAGGCTGCTTACAGGGTAGGGTACCCTACAGACAAACTACAGTTTAGGCTGAACTTTGTAAAACAATGTTCTCTCGGGTCAGGGCAGCAAAGACAGTACAAAAAGCACTTAACCAGTACACTTGAAAATTGTAATGTCCTCAGGACAGGTTGCAGATGTTGGCTGACAAAGATACTTATCTTCATGAGAATATATTTTTAGATAGTTTTCTTGTATTAAACTTGAAATAAAATGTTAGAAGCAAAGTATTTTTTCTTAAGGTATTTGTCCTAATTTATACCACTTCAGAAGAGCTTACCCCTACATCCAGCAAGAGGACTTCTTTAGGAAGCTCTGGCTTAGATTGTAAACCTATCGGGTTTACACCAAAAAGGTGTGGTTTGTGATTAAAACCAGCTCAGCCACTGTCTGTCAGCTGACTGCATTCACTGACGCAGTGCTGATAACCTGTGTAATTGGGAAATACCACACATTTGCTTCAGTCATTACCTGCAACCCAGGCCACACTGATACTTGCAGGTTGCTGTGGTTGATGCTGATGAAGTGGTGAATGCCACTGATCTTGTGCTCTGTGCACCTTCTCTTTGCAGGTTTTTGTGGATGCAGTTCTGGCAGGTGACTGCAGGAATACACCTGCCCTGGAGTTCCAAGTTTATAGACCAGCACCTGAGATTAAAATGAAAACTGTAGCAGTTTACACGGGTCTGTGAGGTGAGTTTAGGCTCAGCTGATGGATGTAACCTGAGTGCTTTTCATGATATTTTTATTACTTCATTTTCTTGGAAGATTCACTGCCCACAACATCTGCTTTTTATTTCACAGAGTCTTGCTAAGGATGTGAATGATTGCCATCTCATTTGGACTTTTCCATACATTTACCTTTTCTCTTTTTTTTTTTTCCTTGATTTTCTGAACCTGTCTCATCTTCCCTTTCCACTGGCACTTTGGCAAGTGTTTTCCTGTTCCTGCTTTCTTTGAAGCTATGTTTTCTTTTCCAGCTGCCCGTTTCTCCTGGTCAGGTCCATCTCAATCTCTCATCTTGGCAATTCCAAACAGTGATTCCCAGACACTCCATTTTAAATAGCTGTTTGATGCCTCCTGTGTCCCGTGTCCAGCAGCAGGATAACAGTGTGGTTGTAGACTGGCTGAGCAGCCTGGTTTGAAAACTGTGCCTGGCCCAGCTAACAAAGTCATTCTTCACACATCTAGACATGGAAGACTTGAGAGAATGGGTTGTTCTGGTTATAATTTGTCTCACCAGGCCCCATCATGCCACAGGTAGTTTTAAAAAATTCCTCTGGGCTGAGGCTTGGGTTTTGGTCTTGCATTTCACTCCCCACTCAAAATCTGTGGTTAATCAAAGAAAAGTACACACATACCTTCTTGGGTGGTAATTCTCCTTACCTGACACATTTACCACTGGAAAAAAAAAAAAACACTATCATTGTTTGCCATTTTTTAATCCCGTAATTACTATTTTAATCCTGTAATTACTATTCATGATATTGCCTGAATTTCAATTGAATTTTTCTTGCATATGGACTTTTTGATCTTGGGCCTAATTTTGCTGTTCTATCAAACTTGCAGTGAATGCCAAGCCCTGCCTTGAAAACTGTTCATTGCAGTTTTGTGCCTTACCTGTCTTCACTGCTTCCTTCTCTTCATCCTCTCCTTTTCCCCATTATTTCCAGGATTTTTCTAGGTCCCCTCTTCTTAAAAAAAAAAAAAAAAAAAAGAGAACAAATATCATTCACTGCCTTGAATCTTGGTGTAATTTATCCCTGTCTGTCTTGTCTAAATTGATTGAAAGCAGGTATAGAACTGCCTGTTCTATACCAATTAGAGATGCTATAGGAAGCTTCTGTCTGAGTTAGTCTTTATACACAGCACAAATAAATACCTTCTATTAATAATAATAACTATGCAAGTAACCCCATTGATTTCAGTGGTAGGGCTGAAGGTAAGGGCTAAAAATAAGGATGGCAAAAAGGATTCCCTATGCAACATAGAAATGAGATGAAGAGAAGATGCCTTTGAGGAGGCACTGACAATATATCTTTAAAAAAAGGCCTTATTTAACTGGTTGCCTCTTGTAATTTGTTAGATAAAATATTTGTATTGGTTTATTCATACACTCATTTCTTCATCGTGGATGGGATCGCACCGGCTACTTATCCCTGAGCTTAGAGGCCTCAGGGATAATCCAAGCCAGTATTATGTTAAACATTATGTAGAACAATGAAGCAGCAAATGCCTGCAAGTGTTTCTGCTCCAAAAGTTTAGGTAAAAGCCTAATACCAGTGTGCAGTATCTGTGCAGAATGTCTTGTGTACAGATGAGGAGGAGCTTTATAGAAAACAAGTTGTCAATGCCAACCCCTGCAGGTGTTCAGCAGGAGCTCATCCTGAACAACAAGGTGGGATGAAGCAGGAAGGTATTCACTGGAAAGGGCAGCAGTGGAATTCAGTTGTAGGGCTGGCAGGACACAGGAGATACCTTTACAGAGTGAAACAAAAGGTGCATGGAACCAGCTCAGAGCATGACTGGAACTGAAGAAGAGCAGGTTTGTGTGGGAGAGAGACACCTCTCTTTGGGAAGGTGTGGGAAACAAGCACAGTTACTGAAAAACTAAGGAAAAGGCCTTGCAGAGCTTTCTGAATGGAAGCAAAAGCTTTATTTGCTGAGGTCAGAGAAAAGGTTGTCATCAATAACTGAGATGAGGAGAGCTCGAGCACAGTCCCCAGTCAGGTCAATAAATAACAAAACCATGTCTTGGCTGACTTTTCCCCAGCTGTTCAGACCGATCTGAGCCCAAACCACACGTTTGTAAGGTTCCCACTCCTTTGCTCAGTTGGCTGTAAAATCCCTCAGTGAAAAGGGGTTGATTTTCAAACAGATGGTTTGTCTAACACACTCTCATTCCAACGGAGACACCTGAAGTTGGAGAAGGCAGAGCATTGAGAGGCAATCCCACCTACACTCGCCCATTAGGATGTGAGCTTGGAGAGAAGGGAGGAGAGTCAAAAATGGCACTCACCACTGCAGAAAAAGGGAAGAAACACAAGGGAAAGGGCTGATAAGCCAAGCTGAACCAGCTGAAATAACTGCAAAAGCCAGGACACCATCTAGGTATGCTAAATGTGACCAAAGGGCAAACAAGGGAGTCGTTTAAGATGGATTGAGAAGCTTTCAGATGATGAGAGGAAGCAAAACTGAGTTTGAAGGGAACTTTTTTTTTTTTTAAGGTAAAGAGACAAGCATATCTGTGTGGGTGCTGGGGGTCAGAGCAGACTGAGCAAGTAAAGCTGTGAGCAAATGAAGGAGTGGGTGTTGGGAAGATCAGGAAATGAATTAAGAGTGAAGTTAATAGGGCAAGTTAAGATGGAGTTACAGAAGACGTGTAGATAAGCTTTTGTTATTGCCACCTAGAGACTTGTAGACAGAGGAAGCAGCAAGAGACTAATTTATTACTTTTATCTTTAAGGAAAATGGTGAGAAAACAAGCAGAGGACAGCAGAAAGGAAGGCCTGACAAGGGTTAACCAGCAGCAATGGAGAGCTCAGTAGGATTACAGGAGTGCAGAGGAGCTGCAGAAGGAGAACTGTCCAGTTGTGAGGAGGCAGAAATGGAGGAGAGAGCGGGCGTGCAGGAGAGGAAGTTGACTGGATCACAGGATTTCCGTCAGAGACACTTTGCACTGCAAGAGCAAGCGTGGATGAGGCAAGCAGGGAAGGTAAGCTGGTTCTGTGGGTAGGTATGACAGTTCATCCTGAAAAGAAAGGAAAAAAAGTCAGTGGTGAATGAAAGTTGTGTGGTAAATGTGCAGTTAGGACATTGCTGCTGAAGCAAACACATTCCTGTCCTTAACATCAAAATGCAAATAAAGCTAAAAGATGTGTGAGCTTCCTTTTTAATCAATACTACTAGTTGGTATTATTTCTGCAGCTTTTCTTCACTGTTATTTTCATCATTTTGGGTTTTTTTCCTTTTTTCCTTTTTTAACAGTCTGCAAGACATTGGTTTCTGCACCTTCTTGCAGTACAAAGCTCTGAAATAATACTTTTCCTTAAAAAGTTATTTGTCTGTTGTTGCTAGGATTTAAATGCACCTGCAGCCCACAATCTTTCCATGTTGTTATATTCCATGCCAGCTAAAAATAAGTGAGACAACTAAGGCTTGTTAAACCTCTTAACAGATAAGATACAGCAGCCAAGCTATGCCCAGGGTATTCAGAACTGCAATTGTTCATTGCATTAGAATTATAATTTTTTCTTTCTTTTCTTAAAACCACATCCCTGACCTCCAGAAGTTAGGGGAGATGCTTCAGACCAGCTTTTCAGTTATCGAAAATATTTTTCCAAGCACTGTAAAAGACAGTGAACATAATTTATTAACACAGAGCTTTAAGGGCAGGTTTATGGCATCTGAGGCTTTAGAAGAAAGCTTTAGGGTTCTGCTGGTGTAAAAAGAAGTGCCTTTTTGAGGGGAACACGTGATTTTTCTCTTAATGTGTGGGGCCGCTTTAAATTTGTACGGCTGAGTTATTAAACCATCGTGGGAAGTGCAGCAGGAGGAGACCCGGGGTAATTGGCTGCAGCTCCAGATGCAGCCGCGCGCTCATTGGAGAGCGGAGGATTCTCCGAGAACTAAAATTAGACAATCTCCGCCCTCCAGAAATGCTTCTGGAAACAGCGAGCAGGAGAAATTCTGACACAGCCCCAGGGCCTGTGGAGAGGAGAGGAGAGGAGTGCACAGGACTCCACTCCTGGCCAAACTGCAGCCTCCAAGGATGCACAGAAAAGATGTCTGGGGGTTTTTTAACTCGGTTAACTGTAAAAAAAAATAAATGCGCGCAATAAGGAAATTGCAAGGGATTAATGTTAACTGTTTTACACTGATACTAAATCCAACATTTCTTATGTAATAATCCTGAAGTGTTCATGCAGGCTGAGGAAGCCTTTGACTGCTAAATTTAAGCTAGGGCTGTCAGACTTGAGCTCACTGAAAAGGAACGAGTCTTGCTGAATTAATTCTGAACTAAACTACAAAACTGGTCAACTCTTTCGATCAGCAATTTTTTTTTTTTTAATAAAACCTGTTTATCAGTTATCTCTCTGCAGTTGCAGTGTTTACGCTGTCTTCAAATGAAATACTGCATAAGGTATTTCTGTTAAATCAAAAAATGCTATGTGCCTGTAGTGGTGAAAGAAAGCCTGTATCTTGATTACTCAGTCTAAGGCATTTGGCACCTTTATTTTTTTAGGGTTTGTGAATAACAACTTCAGTCTTTGGTTTTTAAGCATATCTCAAACTGGCTGAGAGGAATTAATTGCATTGGTTTGTTTCTTGTTTTTATAGTATTTACATTACTCACAAAAAAGATTAGGACAAAATGGATTTTTCTTACACTAAAACCAGCTTGTGCAGTAAATTAGCCATTTCCTCAGCTAACCAGGGCACACAGCGTCAGCATCTTTGGCTCCAAATAGGATTTTTTTTTTTCTTTTCTCCTTTGCATCTGCTTTTGGTCTGATTTAATGAAAAAAAATAATGCTTATATTCCTGTGTTTTCTTTCTGTCCCTTTGCCAGTGTCACCCCAAGGGCTGAAGCGCAGTTCTGGCTGAACTCACCAGCGGGCCCGAGGTCTCCAGAGCACCTCAGATGGCAGAGTTTTTGACAGAAGGGCGACAAGGGAGAGGAGCAGGGTGACAGAGCCAGCTCAGGGGTTATCGGTGCCGCTCTCGGCCCACGCCCCGATAGCGTGGGGCCAGCTGGCCGGGCTCCGTCGCGGGAGCTCGGGGTAAACAGGGACGGAGGCGACACCGGAGCACTCAACACCTTGGCTTCCCGGCCACAGCCCAGGCTATGGCACGAAGGGTCATCTTGGATGGATTGTGGCTGTGCCGGAATTGCTCCCAGCTGAGGAAATAGGGAGCAAATGTATTGGCATCAGGGTAGAAAATCTGGGATAAACCCCCAGGGAACACGGCTCTCCAGCTCTGCTTAAGGCACAACTCATCGTGGCTTAATGCAAAAATCTGTTTCCTACTCATTATACGTTTGCTCTTCTCGTAATAGTTAGGTGGCACTGGATAGACATTGTAATTCAATAAAAGTGCTGAAGAACACCATTAGAGAGCGTTGGAGCTGGGTCAGCGGCCGGGTGTGCCAGAGGCTGTGTGCTGTGAGCTCCTGAACCCGCTGCTGGGCAGGAAAGTAAACAGGAAACCGCCACAAACACCGATAAGTGACCTGCAAAGCCCTTCTGTGCGTATTCTTTCTCTATTTTTTTCCCCTGATAAGTCACGTTACTTCAGGAGCTTTTGCTGTGAGCTCACGCCCTCCGTCTGCGGTTCTAAGCGTGAGGTAAAACTGACATAAAGCTTTTATTGTCACGGAGAAATGAGGGGTTTTGGGGAGTCCCCTCCAGATTACGGTACTCTCGCCCCACACGGGGGGCCCTTCCTGAGGCAGCTGTGGCTGCTGGTTGTTACCCCGCGGCCGTCCCGGCCCGTGAGGGCCGCTCCGCCTCCAGCCGCCATCACCGCGCCGCTCCCGCCGCCATCTTCGTCCCGCCCCGCCCCGCGCGCGGCCGAGGCCCGCGGGCGCCATCTTGTGTCCAGGGCTGGCCCCGCCATCGCCCGGCAACGGCGGGCAGGGATCGCCGGGAATCCCCCGGGAATAGAGGGTTAGGAAAGCCCATCCCCTCCCCCAAGAAGGTGGAACGGAGAGGTTACGTGCGAGTATTGCAGCGGGCAGACAGCCAGGCGGGTGCTGTGTGCCTGCGTCTGCTCCGGGGCGGATGGGAGCGTGGGGCACAGCGGGCGGTGGGTGAGGGAAGCGCTGCAGGTGTCGTTGTGTGCGGTTCTGTGAGGGTGGGACACCATCCCCCACAGCATCCTGCTCTTTTAAGTCGCTTCAAAAGGCTGAGGGAGCTGGAGGTGTTCAGCCTGGAGAAGAGAAGGCTCCAGTGTCTAAAGGGGCTCCAAGAGAGCAGGAGAGGGCCTGGAGGGACAGTGGAAGGGGAACGGCTTCACACTGACAGAGGGCAGGGTTAGGTGGAATATTGGGAGGAAATTCTTCCCTGTGAGGGTGGGGAGGCCCTAGCACAGGTTGCCCAGAGAAGCTGTGGGTGCCCCATCCCTGGAAGTGTCCAAGGCCGGGTTGGACGGGGCTTGGAGCACCCTGGGCTAGTGGAAGGGGTTGGAATTGGGTGATCTTTAAGGTCCCTTCCAACCCACACCATTCTTGATGAGAAGAAGGTCACAAGTGGTCACAGGTCTGTAGGAAACCCTCACAGTAGTTCCCCCATTCCTGACAGTTCTGTGCTCAGGGCTTGCCAATGGATCCGCTCAGTGAGAAAACTGGCACTTTGTCTTGAGCCCATAAATACAGCAATTAATAATGATTGAGAAATGCCCTGAGGCTCAGAGGTGGACCAGCTCCCCACTCTTCACGCAGGAGGATACAGATTTGGGGTTTGGAGGGACACAGGGTTGGTGGATGAGGGGTGTGGGAGCACAGTGAGCCCGCACGCCTGGCTCGCTCCTGCACTCAGCGGGGTGTGTGAGAATGGTTGTATTTCCTCATACACCGTCCGAGTTAGTGAGGAACAACATTGAATCTTTTCCTTATTTTCCACAAAATGCTGCTGCGCTGAAAGTGGGCTTGTGAACTGCCGAGTGCTGACCAGTCCAGGGAACATGTCACGGATTTTGTGAAGTGGGGGTGTCCCTCTCTGTTCCGGGAGTACGGGGTGGGTGTCACCACAGAGAACTGTGCACTGGACAAACTCCAAATGTCCTGGTGTCATTGCAGTACCAAAGGGGCACGTGAATTGGGAAGCCCAGATGGAGGTGTTAATGCCCGAACCTCAGATTTATGTGGAGAAAACTCTGGCTCTAATCAAACCTGATGTCATTCATAAGGAAGAAGAAATAGAGGATATCATTCTCCGATCAGGATTCACAATTGTTCAGGTAACACGCTGTGCTCCAGAGAAAACTTATAAGTCAGAACAATATTTATTTTAGCTTTCAGCAGTCGAGCCAGTAACTAAAAGCTTATGTGTCCAAAAATCAATTTATGTTTTTCATATGTCATCGAGCATCGCTGCCAGATTCTGTAAGGAGACCTTTTTTTTGGTGCGTGGGATGAAGCAGAGCAGGTCAGCTATTTTGCTGACCAGAGGAAAACACTGACTTTGTTAATAAAAGATTTAGCAAATGTCTGGAGCAGATGTGTGGACTCTCTGAAGTAACTCTTTGGAGAGCACATCATTCTAGTCTCAGGAGTTTTGTGCAGCATGCAGGGGGAGAGTTAGAGAATTAATTGAATCCGACAGTTGACCAGTTGCAGTCTGACTTCTTTTTTGTTTCCGCTGTTTTTACAGTAAATTGGTTTAATGGGTATTTAAATGAGGCTTATGAATATGTAAATGAGCCTGGCGGATTGGCCGCTGAGAGGCGCTGTGCGCTCGCGCCTGAGGGCGGCAGGGGCTCCGCCCCCCTTGCTTTGGATGGGGTTTTTGGTACCTTTCTGGTTCTTTTATTTATTTGTGTTTATTATTTGCATTTATTTATTTATGCAACTGTTGGAGACGCTCCAGAGGAGATCACGAAGATACTCCGCGGGCTGGAGTGTTTCTGCTTTGCAGACAGACTGAAAGAGCTGGGGGTGTTTAGCCTGAGGGGGACCTTAGAGAACCTTCCAGAACCTAAAGGGGCTCCAGGAGAGCTGGAGAGGGACTTGGGACAAGGGATGGAGGGACGGGACGGGGGAATGGCTTCGACCTGACAGATGGGATATTGGGAGGAAATTCTTCCCTGTGAGGGTGGAGAGGCCCTGGCACAGGTTGCCCAGAGAAGCTGTGGCTGCCCCATCCCTGGAAGTGTCCAAGGCCAGGTTGGATGGGGTTTGGAGCAATCTGGGCTAGTGGAAGGTGTCCCTGCCCATGGCAGAGAAGTTGGAGCCCGATGATTTTTAAGGCCACTTCCAACCCAAACTATTCCATGATTCTATTGATATGTATCAGAAGATGAAACAAATTAGATACATTTACTTATTTATTTATTTAATTCTAATATGTTAATGGAGTCTTCTGATGTCTCCAGTGGCTTTTGACACCAAAATTATTAGGACTCTGAATTTATGGTACTCTTGTGTTGTATAAGTTTGAGCTCAAAGAATGCACTTTAAAATTTTTTTCTTGACTGTCCTGTGCTTTCTGATAACCTCCCAGAGCTGTCCTGATCCTGGCCACCTGCAGCCTAGGCAGTTATTGGGAGAGTGACAAAGCATGAGGTACTGGATGAAAAATAGAACAATTGCATAATTAACAGTGTGGGCTGGAGAGAAACTTGTGTAAAAGTAGAACATTATGCTTGAGCAGCTGAATAATGAAATCCTGCCCTTGTAACGCTCTTCACTTTGTCTGTGCAGTGCCCTGACTGTCATCCAGCAGTTAGAAAATGCTGTAGTTTGCCTGGGCTAAAATCACATCTTCCTCAAATGGCCTGTTTGCTTAATTAAGTTGGACAACTCTTGCTCTTTGTTACTGTGTATCTCAAAGACAATCAGATCTGGGAGAATCAGATTAGGCTTGGAAGTTGCTTTGTGTTCTGCTCTTGAAGATATGGCTGCAGCAGAGGACTTTATCCTCTCTGAGGTCTTCTAATGCTCTGAGCTCTTTTCATGTACCAAATTTTTTAATTCTTTTTTTTTTTTTTTTGTCTTTTACACTTTCTAGAAACGAAGGCTCCATTTAAGCCCCGAGCAATGTAGCAACTTCTATGCAGACCAATTTGGAAAAATGTTTTTTCCTAATTTAACAGCCTATATGAGTTCTGGTCCTTTAGTTGCTATGGTTCTTGCCCGACATGGTGCAATCTCATACTGGAAGGAATTGCTTGGACCATCCAACAGCCTAAGAGCTAGGATAACTCACCCTCACAGGTAACTCCCTTGGGGAAGTCAGCAGGACTTTGTCATTCTCTTCATTGAGACCAGAATTCCTCCTTTTTTTTGTTTTGTTTTGTTTTTGTACTGTACAGACACAGATTTGGAGTGGCTTCTTATCTCTTCACTTTTGTGTAACAGCATTTCACCTTTGTTTTTTAGTATGTGGAGTTCACCCCTTTTGTAGGGAATGATGAGTGCTTGAACATGAGTTTGAGGTAGCTACTTCCTATGTTTAAAACAAAATTAAGTCTGTGTCCTGTTGATTAGTCCATAAATATGTATATATATATATACTTTTCTGTGCTCTCAGACTGCAGAGACCTGGAAGGGATTTGCAGTTGCCCTCCAAGCAGTTATTTCTCTTGTTTTTTAGCTTAAGAGCACTCTATGGGACTGATGAGCTGAGGAATGGGCTTCATGGCAGCCTCAACGTTTCCTCAGCAGAGAGAGAGATTCGATTCATGTTTCCAGAAGGTAAAATGGTTCAATTGACACATTGCCAATTTTAGGGAGGATAAATTCCTTCCCTGACTATCCCTGGTATAACTTGTCTCTGCCCAGACTCCAAGTACAATCAGTTTAGAGGAGATTGGGTTTGTTTGCTGTTTAAGATTGTGGGTCTCTGTATAAGGTGGTACTTTCTTCTGTGAAAGGCTACCAAATCTATCCGAAGAGCCAATATAGCTACAGGGATTGCTTCCACTTTTCAAACTCTGTGCTCAGAGAACTGGAACAGACAGAGCTGGTAAATGAGAGGAAATGGGAAGCTGTTACACTCCAGCAAGTGTTTCTGGCACTGTCAGCCCCGGAGACTCCTGTTGACTTGAGAATTCTCAGCTGACTCTCTTGTTGGGCTCAGGCTGAGTAATTCCTGTTCAAAAACAGCTGGATGCTCACATGACAGTGCAATTCCAAAGTTAAGTGCCAGAGAAAACGCCTTAGAACCTGGAAAGGCTGGGAGAGCATCTCTTGTTTGTAACAGGCTTTGCTTTTTAACAGAAGGATGCAAGTGCAAGTGCTAGAAAAACGTGTCTGCTTTTGTCAAGCAGATCAGTGAGTTTAACAGATGTTGCACTTCCCTCCAAACCTTACCCATTGTAAGCTGTGTTTCTTCTCCTCACCCTGCCAACAAAGCAGGGCTAAAGGTGGGATTTTTAGGATCTTCAGAAGGCACCTTCACACTGCAAGAAATGGGATATATTGTTTCCTTTCAAGGATACAGGTTTTCCCTGGATGATCCGATTTCCTCCTTTTCCATAATAGACTATAATTAGGAACATTACCTCAGGGACTTTGTAAAGAGGTTGAGGGAGTTTCTTTGCAGTTTGTTGTGGGAGAAGCTGTAAACCCCACCAGGTATTATTAACTGGTTAAGGAGAAGAGCAACTCACATAGAAACAACCTTTGGAAGAGCAGCCGTTTTAATCACTTCACAAGCTGCTTCCTAACACCTTTGGTTACTCTTCCCAGCGATCCTGGAGCCAGTTCCCACTGGACAAAGAGCAAGGGATTACCTGAACCTGTATGTGAAGCCAACGCTGCTGGCTGGGCTCACTGCCCTGTGCAAAAAGAAGCCAGCAGACCCAATGGTAGGTACAGTGGGAGCTTTGGGAAAAGCTTTGGGATACATTTCCTCTACTAAGTCCCTGTACACAGGAAAACTACTCTTGCTGAAGAGCTCTGCTGTTTTAGCTTCCGGCTAATGAGCTAATCAAATAACATTTGGTTTCAACAGGTTGATTTGTTTGTTAGAGATGAAACAAGGCTGTGTTTTCAGTCCCTAAACAAAATGAGCCTTCTTTCATCTGGAAAAATAGGATAAATGTGTTCTTGTGTTTTTAAAGCTCCAGTAGCACTAGTTCACACTAGTACTTCTTTAAGCAGGCAGATAATTAATCCTTGTGACAACTTGCTGGCAGTTGTGGGGATTTTACATCATTATCAGCTTTATAATCAACATTGCATTTTTCTAAAAGATACATTTCAGGAAAAAAAAAGCCTGAAAAATAACTTGGGGTGTTTCTATGAACATGTGATATACATGAGGTCAAATTAAATGCACTTGGAATTGTTCCAGCTTTATAACCTATTTACTTTATCTGTATGTCTGGCACTGTTACCATAGAAATCTAGGAAACAGAGATGAAGTCCATCCCTTTGCCCAAAGGCCAGAGCAGTTGTATCTATTCCCAACAAATGTGTCTCTGGCCTGTTCTTTAGCACTCCAAATGCTGGAGAATCTACAGTCTCCTTGGGCAATCTGTTTCAGTGCTTAATTATACTTAGTTAAAAGCTTTCACTAAAAGATAGCTTAAATCTCCTGGGTTCCAATTTTAAGCCCATTACTTTTTTTCTCCCCCTTTTACTATCCCCAGAAGACAGTGGAGACAATGTATTACCTCCTTTTTTTGCAGATTCCTATTGCATGTTTGAAGAATATTACCATCTTCTTTCCCTTCAATCATCTCTTCACTGTATTAAAACCTGATTTTTTTCTTGTTACACGTCCCATTATTTTAACTCATTGTTTTGGGTTTCAATTAATCTGCATTCTTAGCACAATTTTCTAGTCAGTTATGGGGTATCCAATGGTAACTTAATCGAGGCAATGCTTTCCTTTGCTTATGTGAAAGCTGCATGAAGCAGTGTCAGTAGCTTTGCTAAAAACATTTTATTTGCACCTTCCTTGGCCTCCACAAGGTCTGTGAACTTGTAACAGCAGGAAAAGGATTTGATGCTGCTTCAGAAATATATGTTGCCTATTGCTTTTCAGTTTGTTGCCTGGTAGGTGACTCATGGGGAATGGAATGTTTTGTTGATGGAATGTTTTGGGTTTTCCACTATCCTTTTTTTTTTTTCCCTTCTTTCCTTCCTTCTGGAAGATGCCATCAGAAACTGTCTGTGCACTCAGAAATACTTGCTGGCAGCACAGAGGTTGTCTCAGCCAATTCCTTAAGTAACACAGGATAAATTTAATTGAGTTCAAATTATTTTAATTTTCCATTTCCTTCTTGGGTTCTTACCTGTCCTGGCGCTCTGCTTGTTGGCTCTCCCTTTGCAAACCAACCCTTTTGCATGTGGTGATCAGGGCAGAGTGTTGCTGACCAACCTGGTCTGCCATTCCACCAGTTCTTTCACTTCCCAACATAGTATGAAGTTTGTTGGACTCAGCATTCCAGAAACTAATCATCAACAGCCCTGGGAAGTGAATAAGGATGTGTTCAAAACTGTGCTTTACAAGAGGAGAAATCGAGGCAAAAGGTTAATTTGCCAAAGGCCAGGCCCAGACTGGGAGATGGAGTTAGGACTCAAGGCATTCCTGCCTCCCACATTCTTATCCAAGGAAAACGTGCTGGAAAACTTAGGAGATGAATTTCAAAAAGTAACCCCGTTTTGGTTTTAAGCTTTAGGTATCATAAAGTGATTTCAGTGCAGAAGGCTGGCGCTTTGAATGAATGATTGCTAGATGAGGTATCTGGAAGTGTTGTCAGGAGTCATATTTCATTAAGCAGTTTCATGTGTCTCGTGCAGCCTCATCCCAAAGCAGAGCTGGCTGGATTGTTTGAAATATGGCTCAAATATTCTTATAATTACAAAAAGATAAACACTGCCAGGAAAAGTTGTCTTCTAAAGGTCAGTGTGAATTGTTCAAAAGCAATATAAGCTGTGAACATTTTAAAGGACATTTTGAAGAAGCAGGTTATCTGTATGTCCAGGTTCTTTTCTGAAAGGTCATAGTTTTGCAGCACAGTAGGAGAGTATCTGCAGCAGAGGTTTCAAATAATGCTTTTAATATTCTCTCATACATTTAGTAGAAAACAACAGAAAACTGACAACATCTGGGGGTTTTGTCCACAGATTTGGCTTGCTGACTGGTTGATCGAACACAATCCAAATAAACCTAAACTACAATTTCGTCTCTGAGGAACATCAGGGCTGAGAGCTCAGTGGAAACCACCTCAAGCATTTCAGCTACAGATGAGTATTATCAGTGTGTCCCTTGACTGTGTAACCAATATTATCTGAAATAAATGCATTTATTATAACTTGTGCCTTCATGGAATAAATAACCTTACACTTAACCAGGATGATGTAGTTCTAGGGGCTTCTCTGACGACAAAGTGAATGTAGAATTACAAGATAAATTTATGGCATTGGGTGATTAGAAAAAGACAACATTCCCAGCAGATGTGACTTACTGCTATTTTCCCCGTTTTTCTTGCTGTGGGGAGAACAAAATTATTGACACCAGTGTGGATTCCCAGCTGACACCCACCTGGCCTGCGCTTTGTGAAACCAAGAGTGGTGTTGCAGCATTTTTTTTGCAGAGAGGAATTCAGTTGTGAGGTGCTTGGATGTGACAATTACTAAAGGCCTATTAGCAACTTGGGAATTTTAATTGCTGATCACATCACCCAGCTAAGGTTACTCTTGAAGATGATTTATTTTGTCAGAATGTAATTTGAAGGTACACCGAATGCACCTTTCCCATCTTGATGGCAAAAGGCACAGTGATTATAAATCAGTCTTTGATTTCCATTACAAGTCCCAAGAAGATGTATTTTAGTCAAGGCTTAAGATTATCTTCCAATGTGTTTTTCCAAGCAAAGTGGTTACCTGGAACAGCTCACCCCAGGAGTGTATTCTGTGAGCTCCTGCTCTTAAAGGTGTGCAGATTTCTGGTTTTCCCTTGAACTTTGGTGTGTTCTATTTGAGAATTTCAAGAGAATGGGGCAATGAGTCAGTCCCACACTATTACCTTTTCTGAAGTAAATGAGCTGTTATTTGGAGATGTGGGGCTTTTTAATTTCCTTCAGAGAGCTGTACTTATGCTCTTAACTTCAAGCTTAATATCTTACAGTTTGACTGGCTAGGATGAAGAAAGTGTCATTTTCATAACCCTGAAATATTGCTATGCTTGACTAATACTAAACAAACCAGCAATTTCATAATTTGTTTCATGAAAAAACTTGCTCCCCTAATTTCAGTCATTACCAGAAACCTAAGTCATTTGTTTTTAACATTAAACTTTAAGTGAATTGTTTATCCTCTCCGTGGAATAAACCACTATTGCCAGTCCTGAGAATAACCATTTAGAAAACTGGTCCCTACAGCACTAGGACCTAAAAATCTTGGGACTTCTAAGGTAAGAAAAAAAAAAAAAAAAGAAAGAAAGCTCAAACCCTTGAATAATGAAGAAAAAAAATGAGGTGGTTAGAAATACAGCAAACAGGTCTATTCACATCCAATTTATTTTGCCTCTAAATTTTGTCCCCGTATGTGTCTGATTGCTCCAATTACAGGACAGTTGTGCTGTGTGGTTTCCTGTCAGCAGAATAAAACAAAAATTCCCTTTTTGAAGATATCAGAAACTAAACCCCAGTGAATTCACCAGGCATTCAGCTGTATTTTTTTAGTCACTGTGGCATTTGCTTACTTATTTTGATGTGATCCTGCGTGGCAATAAATATGTTATTGCTGGAGTTTCCAGTTTTGCTTTTGCACCTACAGAGATTGTAACTTCATAGAGCAGGTGGGTCCTCACCAGGGGGTTTGGGAGAAAGGGCAAAGGCAGCTGATGTTGCAAATGTCACCTGTGTCACTCATGTGATAGAAATTTTCAGTCATTCAAGTGTTCATCTGTCATGGGAATTATTCTCTCACATTGGAGCTAACACAGGGTGTTCACCTCAGTTTTTCCAAGGGAAATGTAGAAAGAGAGAAGTTCCCTTCATCCCGTGGGTGCCATCCTGATTATGTGCTCACAGGACAAGCGTTGATCCAGCAAATCTCGCAGCTGAGATCTTGAGGGACCTGCATTAATAAGCAGGATGGGGGCAGAGGGTCAGTCCTGGGAGCGTGAAATGCAGAACCCGCCTGGTCCCGTGGGGGAGCTCTGACACCGCGGGAGAGGCTGGCGGGACTGCTGCTTCTCTTTTGCTCTGTAGGTTCTTCTTCAGCCCGGAGTGGTGCAGGCTTGGCCAGTGTTACAAATCCGTGGCACAGAAACTGTAGCTTTGGGAAAAAAAGCCCAGATGAACTGAGGGATGTCTCGGTGTTTGATGTCAGCAAGGTGAGGTGCTCTCTGTGGAAACAAGTGACCTGTCCTCTCCCTCCCTCAGGTCAAAAGAATTACCTTGCCTATTCAGTTTTATTGGGCATTTTTAACTTGGAGGGAGTTCATTTTAGTTTTACTGCCTGAGTGCTGGAGTTGAGCTGTGTCCATAAAACCAGCAGTTCACTTTGTTTCCCATAATTCTGGTTTTTTTCAACTGGCTTTCTCCTGGAACTTCACTTACCATGCACTTGCTATCACCTGCACTGGAAGTTGTTCTTGGAGCTATACAGATTGGGCTGGTTTGAAGTATGTGATTGCTCAGCCTTCCTGTCTCCCAAGGGATTTATTATCTTCAAGAGCAGTTGAACTGCCAGGAACCCTGATCACACTTAAAAGATGGCAGAAGCCTCAATCACAGCCAGTTTCCCACAGATGTCAGAGCATTCCAGCGTGCAGAGCTCCAGAAATGAGTCCAGAAACAGGCAGAACTTAGGACTTCCACTCAGCAAATTTAAGACTGTTCCATGGAGATTTGCAAACCTTCATTTTTCTCATCTAGAAAAAGAAGATTTGTGTTTATCATGACTGTCTTTTAAACAACAGTTGTCTGAGCAAGATTAGTGCATTGGTTATAAAATGTTTGTCTCGTGGCACTACTTGAAGGGAAGGAGTGACTCAAACGCTCTTTTTTTTTTGTGCCATATTAGAATGAGATGCCATTTGAAGACATAAGGGTCATCATTAATTCATTAAGTCAGAGCAGTCAGATCAAGATAATTCATGTTGTTCTGCACGGTAAATGTTGGTCATTTTTGGTGCTACCCAACAACAGCACATCCTCTGAAAATACTGTGGTTCTTAAATTTCCTTTAAGAAAATCTGGAGAATTACTATTTTTATTTTGTTGGGAAGGCTCTTTGAACACCGTAAAAAGATCATCGTAAAAAATAACTTGTGGCAGTTTTTGCAGTACTGTTTCTTTTCAGATGCCAGTCAGTAGATTTGTTAGTGGACTGTAAATAAGATTTCAGTCCTCTCTGCTCATTGCCTGCTGCTTGGCTTCACTCTGGCAGACTTGGCTCAAACCGGCGTGGCAGCATCACCAGAACTGTCACAGGAAACAGGTTCTTTCTGGCTCTGCCCTTAGTGAAAAAAATCCATTGCTTTTGGATGGTCAGTGAGGAGCAGCTGCCCCTACCTAGAAACGTCCCCTCGTCTGGGTGAGCTCCTCTGGGTGTGGAGTGTGTCAGCAGCGTGACTGATGCGCGGAGTCTCCCTGGGACGGTGCCTGTCAATTCATTGTCATGCTGCCTCCCGCCGAGTGGTCATGGGGACGCTGCCATGAGCTCAGGGGAGAGCTTTGTGTCGCTCTTCTGAGCCACAAGCGAGGCATTGTTGTGAGGCAGAGCAGTTGGTGGGAGAAGAGGGCAGCTTGCAGACAAGAGGGTGAATGATACTCTAATAATGGCAACACTGAAGGATTAAGAGTTCTCTTCAGTTCTCTGCTTGTGAGGGTTTCGGGGCCGAGGGAGGTGATGCTTCTGCACAAAGGTCTTCTCGTGGTGCCTTGCTGGGTGTGGTTGCATTTGTCTTGTATGGCATTGATTTTTGCACCCCGGGAGTCCCGGACTGACTCGGCCTCGCTTGGCTGTGGTGCTGTTCTGAGGAATGATTATTAAACAATAAAACAGCACTGATACCACGTCTGCGACTTCATTACCGTCACATTTAATTTATTGAGAAGTCTTTTCACCTGGGATCTCTGAGTCAGCCTGGATGGATCCTCTGTTTGGCTGGAGGGAAGAGGCAGTTGGGTGCACTCTGTCAGCCCCAGGCTGCCCGAGCGAGGAATCACGAACGAACTCACCTCCAATTCCAGGGAACTTTTATGTACAAGAACCTAATCTGGCTCTAAATACTCTTGGCTTTAGTAAGCTCCTCTGCAAACCGCTCGTGCTTCTTTATCATCTATTTATAATCAACGCTTAAGCTCTCATTTCCTTACAAGGGGGCAGTTGTGTTTTCGTCAGCATTTCCAGAATCTGCACCGAGTGTCAGATTGGGGAACTCTGCCTTTCCAAAAGCAACATCTCACTGCCGTGCTGGCCCGTGGTGGATCTTATCTCTTTCAGGTGTTGTGTTTTCTTAGTGGGTGGCATTCCTGCTGCCGTGTGAATGAGGGCAATGTTTTGTGTTTCGTTTGTGTCAGGCCTCGTCTCTCCATGTGAGAAAATTCCCAGGAGTGTTTAACGGGCGCGTGCGGACAAACCTCCTGCACGCCCCATAAACCCCTTTACTGTGGGCCACTATAAAGCAGCCATTACAGGCTGATGTTTAAACTTCTGAGATTGGCACAGCCCCTCGATTGCACTTACTTATTTTTATAATGTGTAATTTAGCGACTGAACCGTGAAAAGTTATGGCATAGCAAGGTCTCCTTAAAAACAGCGGCTCCAACTGTGCTTTCAGTTTGGGCTTCGTTGTAAATCCGGAGCAATTCCGTTCCGTCAGTTGAAAGGAAGAGGGGAAAATTGGATCGTTCCTGGGAGCTGCTCAGATGGTGTGGTGGATGGAGGTCTGAAATGTATTGTCAGGTGTTGGCATGGCACATTCTCCACTCCTGTAAGGAGCTTGTGCCCAGTTTCTCAGGGAACAGACTCGGACAATCCTGTTCCCTGCACACAGAACACTTGGGCATTTTCCATTTTGCTCAGGTAATTTTGCGTGGATGAAGAAAGTTTGAAAACCAGGTGCTTTTTCTGTGGCCACTGCATGTCTAGATAGCCGTGAGATCATTCCCTGCTACTTCCCACCTCCACTGAACTATGAGGCTATTTCAGAACACTTGTCTTCCTCAGAGCTCTTCCATGTAAGTGTACTGAATTGACCAGCAAAGTTTTGACCGTGACTGTCTTTGTTTTGCAAAGTTCTCTTGTAAACAGGGCACCACCACGGGGCTTCTCCAACAGCCCCCTCAGTGCAAATAAATGGGAGCAACAAAGGCTTAGGAAATGAAATGTCCTTTCCTTT